ACTGACACAAGTGTTGGTGCGTTAACAAAAATTTACACAGACATAAATGTTGGTGCGTTAAAACAAAATTAGTTTTACACCAACACAAAATGTTGGTGCAAAATTGCGGGGTACAAATTGGGGTATATATTTTGGGGTACACATAGCATAATCCTAGTGTATAATATGGTGGTCAAATAGTTTAGTGCCTCTTGGTTAAGAATATGGAGTAGGTACTTCCAAAATTTATTTCTAAAATTATACGGTTTTAAAATTATGCACATGCACCCTCTTCCCTTATTTTCGGTCTATTTTCCAACGAAAAGTGAGCATTGATGCATTTATTTTGCAAGAGTGATTCTATGATGTACCGTGGGTGCATACGATATTTATGGACCTTCTCACATAAAAATGTTTTTATAAAATTCTTTTAGTAAAAAATAAATCTTTATTTAAGTAGTAAAAAATGCTTATTTTGCTTATATGTAAGTCGATGGTGGATCTTAAGTCCACCATAGAATTTGTCATTTTGCGAATTACATGGGTATCGGAGCTCAATATCTTATTTTCTGTTCATTTTAAAAAATGAAAATTGTGCTTTATTATGTTTTTAAAAATCAAAGTTGTTTGTGTTTGCCTTCAAAAAAAAAAAAAGTTGTTTGTGTTTGAAAGAAATAATGAACTAAATTAAATGAAAAAAAGTAACGTGTATATATATATATATATATATATATACTTCGCCTATATTGACAAAAACATTTCTATTTTTTTGTTTTCTAAAATAAAAAGAAATTCTTTGAGACACTTATAAAAGAAAACTTGGAATAGGAAAAGAAAAAAGTAGAATAAAAATAGAATTTAAAAATAAAAACTTAAAATATACAAAAAATACTATTATACGCAGTGGAAAAAGGAAATTGTAGACATGTAAATATGTAATGCACTAATAAGGTCCTTTACGCAGGGCCTGTTTGGGAATAGCGTTAGCCTTTTGAAAAGGCTATCTACGGACAGCGTTTAGCGTTAGCGTTTTCAAAGTGATCCGCACCGTTAAAATTTTATCCAAAACGCTAATCTCTAACGCTATTCCCAAATAGGCCCGCAGTGTCCAAAAAAGTTATTTTTGATAGATGTCCCAAAATTATTCTTTTTAGGCTTCGTTCCGTTCAACTTATTTTTTCTGATCTGATCTGATTTTAATAAGTTCTGATCTGATCTGGTCTGATATGATTGGATCTGATCTGATTTGATCTGATTGGATCTGATCTGATCTGATTGGATCTAATCTGATCTGGTCTGATCTGATCTGATTAATTATGATTTAATTTAAAATTTCAAATCAATAATTTGATTTGACTTTATAATAAAGTTTGAAAATTGTAATGATAATTCATATTATAATATAATCAATATTTTTTATTTAATGATTTTTTTAATAAAATAAAATTAGTTAATTCATATATTAGAATAATTAGAATATTAAATTTTTAGAAATTAGAATAATTATTTTTTTGTGAAATTATAATATTAATTTAATATTTTAATAATTACTGCATATATACATTAGAATAAATATTTAATTTAGATATACATTAAAAAGTAATTAAATTTAGATAATCAATATATAGAAGAGATAGTATTTTTATTAAAATATCTCATCCTTATAAAAGATCAAAACTTTAGAAACTCAAATTACAAGTAGCAATAAAAATATATTTTAAAAGTAGAATTAGATTGACATTGTCAATGTATTTTAAAACTAATTTTTCCAACGTCTAATAATTAAGGATTACTTTCTCAGTTTTCTATTTAACCTATTTCTNCATATATACATTAGAATAAATATTTAATTTAGATATACATTAAAAAGTAATTAAATTTAGATAATCAATATATAGAAGAGATAGTATTTTTATTAAAATATCTCATCCTTATAAAAGATCAAAACTTTAGAAACTCAAATTACAAGTAGCAATAAAAATATATTTTAAAAGTAGAATTAGATTGACATTGTCAATGTATTTTAAAACTAATTTTTCCAACGTCTAATAATTAAGGATTACTTTCTCAGTTTTCTATTTAACCTATTTCTAAAGTTTATTCTTTTTCATTTTTAAAAACAACAACAACAACAACAACAACAACAACAATAATAATAATAATAATATTTCTTGATGGGATCTGATTTTAATAAGTCCTGATCAGATCAGATCTAATCTGATTGGATCTGATCTGATCTGATTGAATCTGATCTGATATGATTGGATCTGATCTGATCTGATTGGATCTGATTTGATGTGATCTGATCTGATTCGATCTGATCTGATCTGATCTTAATAAGAATAAGAAAAAATAAGAAAAAATAAGTTGAACGGAACGGTGCCTTAGTTGTAAAAAATAAAAAACGGATTTTTTTTTTAAATTTCTTCCGACATCGATACAAAAAATCCTTATTCTTCCTTGTTTTCGTGAAAAAATGTTATCCAAAAAAACGTTTGATTTTTTGATGCCCTAAAAAACAGCGCGCCTTAATTATCAGCCCACCTCATGACTACATTTAATTTTACCTTTTCTATAAGAGTTGTTTTTTAATCGATCTTTTTTTTTTTACATTTCATTTTTCCAATTGTTTCTCTTTTATTTCCTTTTTATTTTTTTTATTTTCTTATTATATTGGAAAATGAAAACTGAAAATTTTCAACTTAAGACAGGTGAAGTGTGTGTGTCTATATATATATATATATATATATATATATATATATATATATATATATATATATATATATATATATATATATATATATATATATGATAATTAATTTTTATGTCAGTCAATTTTTCTTTCAAACAAAAACAATTTTGAAGTTTTAAATTTTTTTAAAGAATAGTTTTATAAAAGGAATTTATAAATTAATAGAAAATTGAAAAGTGTTGTTTGGAAATTAAGCATAAATGCCTCCTCTTTATTAGAAAAGTAAATGGAAAATAGTCAGATGGGGTATTGTATCTGCGTAACATCTTGAACCTATAGAAATTTTAAAAATAAATTTTGAAAATAGTAGAAATATTAGAACATATTTTTCAAACCAAGAAGGTACTAGTAGAGGATCCAGAGTCTCAAGGGAGCGGTGTCAATAGTGATAGAGTTGGGCTTTGGGGCACAAAGAGAGTTTGGGATCGAATAACGCGCCTAACCTTTTTTTACAAACGCACCAAAGACTGACAAAAAATTAAGATTAAATTTCATAATTGATCCTTTATAACAGTGAGGTTTCTATATTTAGTCCTCTATTATCAAATATTACCCCTGTAGTTCTTTTTTTAAGGGTGTCTTTCTACAAATGGTCCTTTTTTTATCTTTTGCCATGTTGGTGTTAATTTAAAGACACAGTTTTTTCTAAACGTAACAAACTTTTTGGGACGGAGGGAATACCTTATATAGTTTTAAAAAAAATTCATTGTTGTCGGTTGACCCAACTGGATCCCCTGGAAAGCACGGGATCTATTTGGCCAATATACAGTACAACGGGATGTAGTGTATTTTCCTTCTATAGAAATCACCTAAAATAGGACTAAAACATAAAGAAAAATATCAAAATAGGACTTTCATATTTCTTTTTCGAAATAGGACTTTGCACTGTGGTAATGTGGCACTGTACATTTGCACAATACTATATTTTTTTTGCTAATGTATATGACCATGTTTGCTAATGTAACTCATATTTCAGAAATAAAAACATGAAAGTCATATTTTGGTATATTTTTAATGTTTTAATCTTCTTTTAGTCTTTCTCCCTCCCTTATATTCAACGAACACATCCATTCATTTTGCATACTTTTTCAGTTTAGTTTTACAATCTCTGACTATTGTGCTATACTCGTAAATCTACAAACCGTATGCATATATAATGACCATTATGTATTCTTCAAAGTAGCATGAGTATATTTTGTACTTCTTCCATCCCATGTTTCCAATTTGACTTTTAAAAATTTTAAGTGATGGTCGAATGGATAATTTTGTGTTGACTTTCCAAAAATATCATTGATGTGATGTGTAAAACTAAGATATGATTGGTTGATTATTAGTAAAAAAGAAAGATATAATCAATATGTTAACAATTAGTAGGGGTAAAAATGATTTTTTTAATATAAAAGGAAATAATTTTGTGAGACGAGAAAAAAAGGAGTTTTTAGGACGAAGATAGTACTATTCTGTAATGTACATATTTAGAATATATACTAAAATAAATAAATTAAATATGAAAAATGCGTATTTTATTATAGAAATCACCCTAACTAGGACGAAAACATAGAGAAAAGTACCAAAATAGGATTTTCATGTTTTTTTTTCCGAAATAAGATTTGACACTGTGGTAATGTGGTTGTAATGTGGCACTGTACATGTGCACATTACTATACTGTTTGGTAATGTAAATGATCATGTTTGGTAATGTAAATGTATTTTAAGTCCTATTTCGAGAATAAAAACATGGAAGTGCTATTTTGGTATATTTTCATTGTTTTAGTCCTACTTTGGTCTTTCTTCACTTTCCATCATCTCCGATGGAGCCAAAATTTCACCATTTTTAGGCTTTGGGGTGTGATGGAATAAATCAAAATGGATCTCTAAACTGTCTGCGCTTCTTTAATTAATGAAGTAGCAGTTAGTCAAGCAATGCAACTTTCGATGTTGAGCCGGGGGTCTCTTTGGAAACAGCCTCTCTACTTTCGAGTAGGGGTAAGGTCTGCGTACACACACCCTCCCCAGACCCTACTCTTGTGGGATTTAACTGGATTGTTGTTGTTGTTTGGTCTTTCTCCAATTTTATTATTCAAAAATGACTTTTTGTACCGATGTGCAAAAAACACTATACATCGGATATTTAATGCTCTCTCCGTCCCAAAAACTTCTTACCCTTTCATTTTTTGTCTCACAAAATTCTTCCATTTTATATTAAAAACTCACTTTTACCCCTACTAATTAACCTACCTACCACATCATACTTTTTTACTAATAACCTACTCATCACATCAATGACATTTTTTAGAAAGTTAACACAAAAATATTTCCCCCTTAAATCTTCTAAAAGTCAAAATGAGAATATCTCGGAGAATTAAAGAACTCCATCTACATATATTAATACTCCGTATATGTATCAAGTATTACATTATCATCCATCGAAGAATTAGTTGTGATCGGAGACAGAAGGAGAGATGGCGGAGGAAGTGAAAAACAAGCAGGTTATACTGAAAAATTACGTGACCGGAATTCCGAAAGAGTCGGACATGGAAATCCGCACAACCACCGTTAAGCTAGAGCCCCCGCCGGATTCCGACGGCGGCGTATTCGTCAAGAATCTCTACCTCTCATGCGATCCGTACATGCGGACTCGCATGCATCTTTCCGACGGCGGCTATCTTGGTGTGGATAGCGCATTCAAACCCGGCTCGGTACGTAATTCACCACACCTTGTGTTTATTAGGCATTATTATTATTATTATTATTATTATTATTATTATTATTATGATCATCACAATCATTATTATTGATGTGTGATTGAATTAAATAAATTGATAAAAATACTTTTTGTCAATTTTAATTTTTCAGTCAAAATTAGTAAATTATTAGATTTATTATACCCCGAGTATAAAATATTTTCAAAATATTATTTAATCTCATTAATATACACTACATATTTTATTTAATTATAAGTTAAAGATTGAAAATAATTGACTGAAAAAAGTCAAAACTAGACAATTATTCTAAGACGGAGGTAACTTGTAGTATCATAGATAAGTACAATCAAGAACAATTGAGTAAATTTATATTTCATGATGATGATATGCTCGGTATATTTATGCAGCCAATAGAGGGTTTGGGTGTGGCTAGAATAGTAGAATCCGGGAGCCCGGGGTTGGAAAAAGGAGATTTGGTGTGGGGAATCACAGGATGGGAGGAGTACAGTGTAATGAATGTGAAGACGCTCTTTAAGATCCATCACACAGATGTTCCACTTTCATATTACACTGGAATTCTAGGTATGTTTAAATATGTACTCCCTATATATATATATGCATCATAGTTTGTGCCTATTCTTAATTAATTAAATCTATAGTTCATTAAAAGTCTCGTGGAAGGCTGAGTAAAAACACAGAGAAGTTTAAACATACCATTAATTACTAAAATATTTTCTTTTGTCAAAAAAGCCATTAAATTACTCCGTATCTTTTTTTTTTTTGTCAAAAATGTTACTGCTTTTTTGTTTGTTAAGGTCAACAATATTACTTTTTCTATTAATTTTTATTTATGTTTAAAAATAACATTCTTATGTCTTTAAACAATTATTTAAATTATTTATGTTTAAAAATAACATTCTTATGTCTTAACATTCTTCTGTTCTAACCATAATTGTGTTTCTACCATAAAATTATACTCCCTCCGTCCCACAATATTTGCCACACTTGCTTTTTCAGCAGTCGCGAGAACTTTTGTTTACTTCTACGTTTTCATTGGTCATTTGATAAAATAAAATATTCTTAACACTTCTTATTTTGAAGAACTTTTCATGTAGTTTTTTGATATGCAAAATTTATTTTTTATTTCTATACCAATATGTAAATAAAATGAATTGAAAAATTTGATATTTTGCCTCGGGAATACAAGTGTGACAAATATTTAGGGACGGAGGAAGTATCAAACTAGAAAAGTAAATGGATTTTTGATATCAAAGTAATAAAGCCTGACAACACATGAGAAAATGGAGTAGAAGTCCAGACTTTTGTGAATATATCACCTCCCTGATCCGCAATGGAGATGTTTTTAGTGCACAGGATTCCCTTTTGTATTTCATCTTTCACAAAGTGATAGTCAATCTCAATACTTTTAGTCCCTTCATAAAATACTAGGTTAGCAGCAATATGTTGGGTTGCTTGGTTATCAAAAAATTAAAATAGATTCATGGGACGTGAATGCATGGCATACCCGAAGGGACAAAAGAAGCGATTTTAACCACTTTAGCTCACACAAACGGTAGTTGTCATAGTACGATATTCAACCTCCATGGAAGATTACGAGACAATATTTTGATGCTTTGTGCACCATGAGACCAGAGAATCTCCTATGTCTATGAAATAACATGTGACAGAGCGTCGTCTTAATGGGCAGCCTACCCAACCATAATCACAATAGGCATAAAGAGTCAAATCACTGTTAGCAGGAAGAAACAATCCATGTCCAAGTCCCACCTTTATGTAGCATAAGACCACGACTGCACCGTCCCAGTGTTCTTATCTAGGTTCTCCTATAAACTAAGACAAAACATGAAAAGCATAAGCCAAATCAGGTCGAGCAATGGTGAGATAAATCAAACGTCCAACCAAACGGAGGTAGCGTGCCAAATTTGGCAGTAGTGGGCCACACGCTAAAGCCAATCAATATTTCTTAGCAAAAGGTGTGTGGGTGGACGAGCTTCAATTCTTAGAATCTTGTCTTGAAAAGAATGTCAAGGGCATATTTACTTTGACAGAAGAAAAGTCCTATAGAGTTCCGAGAAACTTCAATGCCTAGAAAATATTTAAGTAATCCCAAATCTTTCAAGTGGAAGCAATATGAAAAATCGGTTTTGGAACAAGTTATATAGTTCTCTTCAATGCATGCTATAACATGGTCATCCACATAAACCAATACTCGAAGCTCAATAGGACCTGGATATAGGTTAACATAGAGTAATCTACCTTATATTCCTTAAAACCAAGCTGCTTCAAGGAGGAGGAGAGTTTAAAAAACCAACATCTGGGAGCTTGTCCCAGGCAATATAGTGATTTGTGTAAACGACAAACGAAACCTTTATTTCTAGAAGTGAACTAGGTGGTAGACACATGTAAACCTTTTCATGGAGGTCACCACGAAGAAAAGTATTATGGACATCCATCCGATGTAGACTCTAGTGACAAGCGGCAGCAACAGATAAAAAGGCCTGAACAGTGGCCAGTTTGGTCGTTGGTGCAAAGGCTTCTTTAAAATCATTTCCTTATTTTTTTCGGTTGTCAAGAACTATGAGTCAAGATTTGTAATGCTTTATGCTGCCATTCAATTTGTGTTTAATCTTTTAAACCCACTTTGAGCCAATCGTATTCCGATAGGGGGCAAGAGAATAAGAGATCATGTCCTATTAGCTTCGAGTGCTTCAATCGTTTTCTTCATAGCTAAGACCGAATGTAGATTTTTGACAGCCTCAGAGAAGAAAATTGGCTCAACATCTGCATTTTTAGCTACCAAAAAATATGTATGCGAAGCAGAAAAGTTTTCAGAGTTAACCAAATTTGTAATACAATGAGCAATACCTAAAGATATGATGGTTTGGAGGAACCCATTGAAGGACTTTGAATGGTGTGAATGACAAAGTCACGTAACCGTGTGGAGAAAGACATTCTCTTTCACCTCAATGCAAGGGTTTGTGGTGGGAAAGGGTGTGAGTATCAATGGATGGAGGGACAAGATCAGGGGTTACATTAGGTTTGGACGGTCCACCGTGCTTTGTCACGGTCCATGGTCAGGACCGTCTTGGAAATATCTGCGAGTTGTGTTGTGGACGGTCGACCATTGGGTGGGCGACGATCGAGGTCATCCACCACTTGGGTTGATTTTATGGTTCAGAGGGCTACTGTGATGCCGGTAAACTATTAGGAGTGGAACGGTCAATTGGTTTGACCGTTTACGACAAAGAATTTGGTGTTGAGTTTTTATCAAAATCAACTAATGGTTCAGGTTTGGGTGATGTAGCTGAGTTATTAGAGTTTAGAACAAAAAGGAAATGATGTTCAAAGATTTTAACATCCCCACTTAAAAATATTATGATGGTTTCTAAGTCGAGAAGATGCCAACCCTTTTGTTTAAGTGGATAACTAAGGAATACACAACGACGAGAACGACTAGCGTATTTGCCGCTTCCATGAGATTGATTATGGGTATAGGCAAGGTACCCGAGCACTCATATATAGTTATATGAAGGTGGTTGTTTAAACAATATGGAATTTGGTGTGTTTCCATTGAGTAAGGTAGATAGTGTGTGATTTATGAGATAACCTGCAATAAGAATGCAGTCACCCTAAAATTTGAGAGATAGATTGGCTTGGAAACGGAGTGCCTGGGCTAAATTCAGAACGTGACGATGTTTTCAAACTCACTTTTTTGTATGGTACTATCTAACACAAGAAGACAAAAAAGAATTCCATTACTATCATAGATGGATTTCAAACAGGTGAATTCCGTATAGTTGTCATTGCGTACGACCTTAACTTGTTTGTTAAATTGACATTCAGCCATATGAAGGAAATTGCAAAGAACAGGTGCTTCATATTTGTGATTTAGTAAATATACCCACAGAGCTTGAGAAAAATCATCAACAATAATTAAGAAATATCCAGCTCCAGTATGAGGAGTACGATACCCACCCCACAAATCACAATGAATAAATGAAAAATGAGTATCAAATTTATTTAAACTAACTGAGAAAGAGTCATGACATTGTTTTGACTGAAAACTTGCATCGCAAGGTAAGTCATAAATATTGGTCTTAATCGAAGATAAATGGGGAAGTAGTTTGACGACAGTATGAGAAGGATGAACTAAATGCTGGTGCCAAATGTCCAGATCACTCACCTCCTTTAGAGTGCAAACTTTCTCGTCCACAACATTCTTAAAATAGTAAAATCCCTTAACTTGTTCACTTATTTCAATCACCATCTTTGAGATACCGTGTTTTATAACATAAGTTTTATCATTAAATTGAACAATTAATTTCTTCTTCTCAAGAAGCTGAGAGATACATAATTAAAATTAAGTTGAGGCACAAAAAAACATTCGCCAAGGTTATCAGATTATTAAAAAACTCTCCCCCCCCCCTGTTCAACCAAGGCATGTTCGCCATTTGGCAGACCAATGGAACACTATTTTATTTTTTCCATATTTACCAAGCATCTTTTATCTCGGTTATGAGTTAACTCGTACCACTATCAATTATCAAAGATGTGTTTAGCATGCCTGAGAATTTGTTTTCAGTACTCGATTCTTTGTCATTCAAAAGTACCATCATAACGTTTCATTGGTTGGTTGTGAGAGGCGAAAGATTTGATTGGTTAAACTCGCCCCGTAAGGTATAGTACTATCACCGACACCATCCCCATTAAAAAATTTGGTTATATTGTGCATCGAAATAGATTCGTCAATAGCCCCATTTTTTGTTTTAGTTAACCAATCTAGATTTCTTAGAATATCACTACTGGTTAATCAATTTCTAAATTTTGATTCTATGCATTCATTTTTAATCGACCACTGCTCGTATTTTTCTCTCTCTTACTTTTAATTCACTACCAAATGTACACTTTTTTGATTAAATTTTATTAGATAAATTGTGACTCCAATTAATTAGTATAAAAAACACAATCTGTTATAAATATTCAATCTTAACATCCTAAATTTTTTTAATGTAGGAATGCCTGGTGCCACGGCGTATTTTGGATTGCACGAGGTTGGTGCTCCAAAAAAAGGCGAGTCTGTGTTTGTTTCAGCAGCGTCTGGGGCAGTGGGTCAACTTGTGGGACAATTCGCCAAGCTCTTAGGTTGTCATGTGGTTGGTAGTGCTGGATCCAAGCAAAAGGTATGTTGAATCAATATAGTACTATGCATAACCTTCGCTTGAAGCATAAGTATATACGAATAGTTTATTTTTTCAATCAAATTTAATTAATTTTTATTATAAAATAAATAAAAATTGACCGAAAAAGTCAAACAATATGGAATTCTAGGACAATGGAAGTACATGCATTTACTACCTTCTCCAATTATTTGTCACTGATATACATCCGAATGCATATTCCATGATAGTTATTAATAATACTCACTCTCTCTCTCCGATAAAAAGATTCTACCTTTGAATTGGCACGGGAATTTAGAGAAATGCAATTGTTTGGTTGAAACTGATGTAGAAGAGAGAAATTATATGGGTCACAAAATTGTTTCTAAAATTGAAAAGTGAAACCTTTTTTGGACAAACGAAAAAGAAAATATAGAACTTTTATGGGTAAAAGTCTTACTAGGTCATTATACTTTTTCAAAAGTGCTCCCCAAGACCCTAAATTATTTTAAATACTTGTCTGGTCCATATACTTTCGAACTAGTGTACCAATAGTCACTTCAGTGACTTTTTCATCCAAAACTCTAGCATACCATCCAATTTTTTCTTTAAAAAAATTTTGAAAAAATGTAGGGAACTAGTAAGACTTTTACCCTTGTATTTTATATGGAGTGTTGGCAAATTACCAAGTAAGATTAGGAATACTCAAGATATTCTAGTTCTAGTAGGAATAGAATTATGGGTCTTTGGATTAATTAGCTTACTTGTTGACCAAGTTGAGTTAACACTATATATATCATAGCCAAGATTTGGGTTTTTGATAAGTGAGATATATAGATTATATGAGAGTTACTGTATTAGGTTTTGAGTCATATTTTCTCAATATAATAAAAGTGAGTTCTCAAAGTATGTGTTTTACTTAGTGTTAAACTCAAGAATTGGTATTGGAGCAAGGTTGTTCAACACCAGCAAAAATTGCTAGAAGATTGTCCCCTATAGTTTCCAAACTCGTGCAGTAACAACCAAATCTGAAGTTTGAGCCACAACCGGTGAAAGACCAAGCCTTAGGCGCCGCTTGTTCAATCGGAGTCGCACACAGAGGGGAGACCATCGCTGGTATGGAGATATGGTGCGCGTAGCAGCAGCAAGGGAGCGCAGTCAGCGCACAGACATAACATCGACACTTTCGCGCATATACAGAGCAGACGCTGCCGTACAGCGCTGCACCTCCGAAAAGTACCACCATCATCGTGCACAATTGTTCGAAAGAAGAATAAAAATAGCAGCCTCTCAAACTGGTCAGCCGAAAAAAGGCAGCCTCTCAACCTCAGCCGGAAAAAAAGATAGGGTCTTGACCAAGAAAAAAACTACTACTGCATTTTTATTAAACAAGAAGGTTTATTTGAATTACTCTAAACTCAAGTACTGGATCCCATTAGACCACTCTTGAAGTACAGTTGATTCAAGAAAAATATGACAAAATCCGAGACACCACAACCAAAAGTGAAGGGAGTTGGACTTACATTTGTCCAATGTCCATGCTATGTGCTACAAACTAGTCTGTATGGGCCATGAGAATGAACGTCGTCTTAAGGGTTCACAAGGTGTGGGAAATGATTGAACCAGACTTAGATGATGTCGAGAAGAATGATATGGTAACGTCACTTTTGTCTCAATCAATTCTAGAAAGTCTGATATTGCAAATAGGCAAGCAAGAGACTTTGAAGGATCTGTGGGATGCAATCAAAACCCGCTACTTGGGTGTTGAGCGGGTTAGAGAAGCTCATATCAAGACCCTAAATGCAAAAGTTTGATAATATGAAGACTCCTGATTTAGAGACAATTGATGACTTTGCTGAGAAATAAACAAGTTTGGCCTCAAAATCTATAGCTCTAGGAGAAGAGATCAAAGAGTAAAAGATGGTAAAGAATTTTATAAAGGCTCTCCGTCGTTCTAAATACATCCATATGCTCTCCTCCTTGGACAATTCTTGGATTTGAACAAACTAGGATTTCAAGAAACCATAGAACGGTTAAAAGCCTACCAAGAGTGAATCAAGGAAGAGGATATAGAAACATAAAGTAAACTATTGTTCTCTAATCGTGAAAGCTCTTGTTCTCGAAGGGGAGAAAACGGGTCGAGAGGATAATGCCGATACAACAAAGGTCGTGGAAGAGACCATGACCAGGATGATGATGACCAAGATAAGAGTCAATACCGAGATGGTCAAGATCACGTGTCAAAGCGAACTGGTCAAATAAGAACCAATGAACTTCATGAGGGAAGAAAGGATAGATCAAATGTTCAGTGCTATCGGTGTGATAAATTCAGTCACTTTGCATCGGTGTGTCCGAGGCATATGAAGAAACAAGAACCTAATTTAGTTGAAACTGGTGTGTTGGATCCATCTTTGTTTATGATAAGATGTGATCAAGGGACAATTTTTATAAATGAAGGAGTGATTCTGAAGCGTTTCGAGATTGAACCAAAGGAGAAAGACATTTGGTATCTCGACAACGGAGCATCGAATCACATGACGGGTAGTAAAGCTTACTTCTTTGAACTTAATGAACGTGTCATGGGAAAGGTAAATCTTGGAGATGGATCTTGTATTGACATACGAGGAAAGGGATCAGTGTTAGTTTAAGGGAATGGGAGCACTGCCTGTTGACCGATGTGTACTACATGCCCAACCTGCAAAGCAACATCATAAGTCTTGGTCAAGCAATGGAAGGTGGATGTGACATTCACATCAAATGCGATTTGCTAACCGTTCATTATGATACAGGGAAGCTTATGGTGAAGGTGACAAGGACCAAGAACTGGTTGTCTAAGACCAATCTCAATATAGTAAGTCTCGGTACACAAGTTAATGTTAACTTAGGAGTTTAATTTCTAAGTGATGAGCTCTCCAAATCAAGATGCACCTTAACTTTCCAAGTCAAGCACGCTTAACTTTGGAGTTTCTAAGTGATGAGCTCTCCAAATCAAGATGCACCTTGTTGGTATGAGTAGTACTACCGATCTTTTTGAGCCTTTTCTTTCCCTAATCAATTTACTTTCAAATCAGGGTATTACGTTCACCCCCACTTAGGAATGCAATGTCCTCATTGCATCCTTTTTTTCAAACCCCTAAACCTTTCCTGGTATGTGAACTAAGCTTGTTGGCCCGTTCTTTTTCGACCGAGCACACCGCCGGTCTATGTTCACTGCAGTCGATTGTCCGATAGCATGGCCTCACCGACCGGTCTCGACGAGCATGCTTAACAGCCGATGTCTATTATCCCTCTCTTACTCTCTAAAATATCTATTATCTCTCTCTCTCTCTCTTCCAAAAATATCATGTGTGTGATCAAAGAATGGGAAAATTTCATTTGTCTCTATTTTTTCTAGAGATCGAGATCATGAAAAGTGACATAGAAGCAGAGAACAACCCAAAAAGAAGAAAGAAAAGAAACTCCTCGCCCTTGTTCCAAAGGCCAAAACTCTCACCCGAAAAACTTAGAAAACGTAATCTCAAGCTCATTCGTCATGTAACAAAGATCTGGTTCTCTACCTCCAAAGGCTATCCTCACAAAACTGCTTCCTCCGGCTCAGTTCGAGTACATGCGCTCCAAGTTGCTCCTCGTTACCGATGATCAGCTTGCGGGGGATATTAAGAATATTAGATAATAGGAAATAAATATTATATTTAATTCAATTCCTTATTTATTGTTTCCTAATTGTATTGTTACTATAATTCTTCTCCTACTATGATTAGAACTCTCGCTTGTAATCCCTATATATAGGGAGGTATCCTTCAGTATTCAATAAACAATCGTTCTCAAATTGTATCATGTTAGACAACAATAACAATTATAATATTAGTTATGGTAGTTTTTATTATAGGTCAGCTTCCTATTCCTATTTATGGTAGATCTAGTATTTCAATGAGTTTTCTTTCTCTATTTCTTGTTGTGTAAGAAGTCCCTCCTATATATATATATTCTATGATGTTCTCCATAATTTAATGAGCAATATTATTTTTTCCAGTATTTCAACATGGTATCGGAGCTGATTACTTGACCATATTTGCCGAAGTAATCCGTTAGGGTTTCTTCGTTGGCAGCGTGCGACATGCCGCCAACGAAGAGCTAGCTTGGTGGTGTTATTCTCCTCTTGTATGGTTTTGTTAGGCTCCATTACAATATTAGTTTTTCCCTAACTTATGGAGAGATATGATTATTATATTGTTGTGAAGATAGGTAACTTCCAAATATATAAAAGCTAGTGATGAGGAATTATTCTACTCCACATTAAATTTACATAACAATCAATTTCTTAATTCTAGAGTGTGCATATACGGAGAAAATAAACATAACAATCAATTTCTTATTTCTTGAGTATCATATCCTATGTGCATTCTACCACAATTATATGATTATTTGTTTCCACTAGTTTATCACCCGTGCGATGCACGGGAATATAGTACGTACATAATTCGGGATGAATATGGAAAATATAAATTGTCATCGATGAAAGCAGTCAAATCATAATTGATGATAAGTGCTAAACTGTCGTTTTTGGGATTGGAAAAAAATTTTAGATTTGAAAAGATCATATTAGATTATTTATCATTTATAGATTAAGTAAAATCCACAAAATATTTTAATTCTATGTTGATTTGCATAGATTTTATTATATTTTATTGGTAGGATTTTAAAAGATTGTGTTTAGATTGCTTAAAATCCAAATAATAATAACGTGAAACAAAAAAAATTACCTTGAAAAAAATTTAGCAAAAAGAAAGATAAAAACCAAAAATTGAACACAAAGAAAAAATTGATCAAAATAATTATGGAGCATAAAATTTACCATGAAATTTTTTGAGTAAATTCCTAAAATAGTCCTTTGTAATAAGGTATTTTCCCAAATCAGTCCTCAATAAGTTTTAATTACCTATGTGGTCCTCTATAATTGAGATTTATTCCCAAGATGGTCCTTCCTAAATAAAGTTACTCAAATGAAGATTAATTGAGGGCATTTGGGTATTTTTTATCCACTAAATTTAGAATTAATTCTTAAAATGATCATTTATAATGAAGTGCTTTCCCAAAATGGTTTTTCTAATTAAATATGTGTATTTGATTTTAAATTTAAAAGATTTTTTCTAAGTTTTAAATAATTCATGAATTATTTATAGTCAATTTATTTTTTAAATTTTACATTTAGTTGTACAGAAATGACTATTTCGAAAATATACTTTAAATTTCGATGATCAAAATACCAAAACATCTCACAATTAATCATCATTTGAGTAACATTATTTACAAAGGACTATATTGGGAATATATCTCAATTATAAAGGACCATATAAGTAATTAAAACTTATTGAGGACTAAATTGAGAAAACCCCTTATTATAAAGGACCATTTTGGAAATTTACTCAAAATTTTTTAACAAAGCAAAATCAAAAGGCAAAAACTTGAACAAAAAGCAAAAGCTGAAAAAAATATACAAACTGTAGAAACAAATTGAACAAAACCAAAAACAATTACATTGAAAGCAAAATCAAACAAAAACCAAAGCAAAAACTGTTAAAATATACATATAAATGTTAACAAGGTTTGTTGGGTGTAAATTGTCTTTTCCATGTGTCCATTTCGTAGTGAAAGACATGTTGATGAGTCTGCCTAGATATTTGCCATGTGGAGTAGCATTAATTCTAGCCATTGGATTGCTCAATCTTAGCGGGAAAATTAGAGAATGAAATTGGTCTTAATTTTCATTCAGCTTTTATATATATAGTAGAAGTAGCTAGTACGTGTTATTTTGATATTTACTAAAGACCTTATTAATTTTTAATGGTTAGGTTGAAATGTTGAAGAACAAGTTTGGGTATGATGATGCATTTAACTACAAAGAAGAGAAGGACTTGAGTGCCACTTTGAAAAGGTTAGTTTTATGAACTATACTATATGCCTCACACATTATTTGTTCAATTTTCACTTTTTACAATAAATCAGACTCAACTTTTGACCTATAATTATATAAAAACTATATGGTATATCAATTAGATAAAACAATATTTTGAAAATATTTTACATAATGAATAATCTAAAAAATAATTTTGTATCAATATCTAATCCGAATTATATTTAATTAACGGTCAAAGTTTATCAATTTTGACAATAAAATTCAAAACTAGACAAATACTTTGAGACAGAGATAATATTTAGTAATTAATGACTAATAAACTAATGGTTTTTCTTTGGTGTCTCTATAAGTGAAATGATATGCAGACCCCCCATTAATTGTGTGATATTTATGTTTCTATAGACACTTGATAGTACATAACCTTAATTAATAATTTTCTTTAATTTTTTCAAAAACTGTAAAATAATCTCAATTTTATTCCATGTTTATATTAAAAAAACTTTAGTTTCGTGCAATTGTTTATAAAATCTTTTTTTATGAATTTTTACACCCACAATCAAATAAATAGAGTTTTAAATAAAGACGGTCAAACCTGAAATGGAAAGTTTAATTCAAATCTATTATTAATTACTCACTTTGTCCCATAATTAAATTTTCCATATCGGTTCACGAGGTTTGACCGGCTTTATTTAAAATTTAATTTATTTGATTACAGGTGTAAAATTCAAAAATTATTTTAATATATGTAAAAATTACATATACGTTTTTAAAGACAAGAGATGACACGCCTATTTAATATTGTGAAATGAGTAGTGAAAATAAACAAATAGTGAATAAAGTTTGATTATGTGAATAGCGTCTAGGCAATTCAATTCCGAACGGGGGAGTACTATTTTATTTCATAATTTCTAATTATTTTAGTTTTAGATAACTATCATTTTATTTAATTATATATAATGAACTCATTATTTTAGTTTTCAAGATAATTGTAATTATTTTTCCCAATCAAATATTTAATTAATCATCAATAATTAATTATTTTATTTAATTGTTATTTGATTACCTTATAATTTTAGTAATGACAAATACCATTATTTAGACATAATTGTATGGCTTAATTGAATAAAGTTATATTTACTCAAATAATTACACATTAATTACCATTTTCAATTCCTACAAAAGATTTATTAACTTGTCCCACTCAAAATAAATAAATGGGTATATTTATTGTTAATCAGATGCTTCCCCAAAGGAATCGATATTTACTTCGAAAACGTGGGAGGAAAGACGCTAGATGCAGTGCTTCTCAACATGAATCTCCACGGGCGCATTATCGTATGTGGAATGATCTCACAATACAATCAAACGAAAGGACCTGAAGGCATTCATAATCTGATGACTCTCATCAGTAAAAGGATTCGCATGGAAGGGTTTATGGTTGGTGACTACTATCATCTCTACCCTAAATTTCTTGAAACGGTTCGTTCGTATATTAAAGAAGGGAAGATTGCGTATGTGGAAGACATTGCAGAAGGTCTTGAGAGTGCTCCTAACGCTCTGATCAAGATCTTTACTGGCGCAAACGTTGGGAAGCAACTTGTGGTTGTTTCTCACAAATAACTTTTATTTTTATTTTCGGAATCCATGGCCGGTCCCGTGAATGAATAATATCTGCTAGTTTCATTCCCAACGTTATTTGTGTTTTTTTATTCTAAGAATAACTCAGCACGGTGTTAATGTACTATATTTCATTTTCTGTCTTTCTATTCCATGCTTTCACATTTTCAAATAGCTTGAAGAAAGAAAACAATGTGTTCTCATTTTTAGCGTTAAAAATGGCAAGGCTTTGATGAGAGTTATTTTAAATTTAAAAGTCTATGTTGCCTACTTTTGCATACAAGTAGGGGCGGACACATCTTGAAACCTGCTAGGTAGGGTGTTCAAGTTTAGGTCTAGATCGAAAAAATCGATCAAACCGATGAGCCGTTGCATCATCTTGAAACCTGATAATGCGATGCTAATTTCAGAAAAAAATCCTTTACATGTTTCCTTTCAAAATTTTGGGAGTCCGCAAACTCTGAATTGTGAATTCACGGGGTCCTTTCCTTTGAAAATCGTGATTTGAAGGTAAATTTTTGAATTTGAAAGCATTCTCAAACTTATAGTTCTGAGAAATGGTGAATTGGATTCAAATATATAACTTGAAAGGAAATATTTTGGAAACATATTAAGAAGAATATGAGTTCAATAAAAAGTACATATGAATTTTGGGAACAACCCTAATTCTTGAAGCCACGAAAAATTCTGATCGCAATTAGGGATTCTCTTAATCTAAAACATATCGAGACTTTCATTCTGTAATACCTGGTAATAAATCATGCAAAGAATTGGTGATGAATCAGAGGATACTCGATAATAAATCTGGCAAAGACTTTCCTTTGGCGACGAAGCAAATCACGGAGAAGAAATCAACGAAGACTTGTGATTTGAGCAATGAAGAAAGTCTAAAAAAATAAGCGATAGACGCGTGTAAGCTTACGTGTCAAAGAATCCCACCCTTTAAAAGTGCCACATGTCAAAAATCCGCTCCATTTCTCAGATAAATTATATTGAAAATAACTTCAACCAAACATCATAAATCAAAATAGGTGATTTAAATTAGGACGAGTGAGTACTCTTTTAGTGGAATCTAAGATTATATATTCAATTAAATATCATCAAGAATTAAGAGAAGGTTTAGAAGTGTGCATTTATTCAAAAATATGTCATGACTAGTATCACACCCGTGTGTTGCACAAGTCATATTTAAGTTACTAAATTAAGATCATTTTTGAATGATAGAAAATGATATCTAAAAGAATATAGATATTTTATAATTTTAAGGTACGCAAGTTTTTTACATAAGAATTTCGAAAGACTTTTATATAAACTACATTATTCGTATAATTTGTAGGAACATTGTCTTCATTGCATATCAGAATCTTCAAACCACTATGATTTGTTACTCTTGAAACTGCAACATACAGTTTATTCATAACTTACCTTTATTATTATTATTTTTATTTTTATTATTACATTTATTTTTATGATTATTATTATTATATGGTGCCATATTATTACATTATTATTATTATTATTATTATTATTATTATTATTATTATTATTATTGTTGTTGTTGTTGTTTCACATGTTACCTTTTTTATTATACACAATACCAAATTTTATAAGGTATGAAATTACTTTATTAATAATTAATAATTAAAGTTCCATACGTTACCTTTTTTATAGCACGGTACCAAAAATATATGATATGAAATTACCTTATTTATAATTAATAATTAAACAAAGCCAACACTTTCATTTATTATATACATGGTAATAGCACAAAACCAACTTACCTTTATTATTATTATTACGTTTATTATTATGATTATTATTATTAGAATACGTACGGTACCATATTATTACCATAATATTATTATTATTCTTTCACATGTTACCTTTTTTTCTTATACACAGAACCAAAAAGTATAAGGTATGAAATTACCTTATTTATAATTTTTTCGAAACACCTTATTAATAATTAATAATTAATGTTCACATGTACCTTTTTTATTACAAGGTACCAAAAATTAAAAGGTATAAAATTACCTTATTAATAATTAATAGTTAATTTTATAGCTTATAATCTTGCTAAAAAAATATAATGCATGAGAATACACATTTTTAATCCAACTCAACACTTTCATTTTTTTATATGTGGTAAGAACACAAAACTAACTTACCTTTATTATTATTATTATTATTATTATTATTATTATTATTATTATTATTATTATTATTATTACGTTTATTATTATGATTATTATTATTATATGGTACCATATTATTATTATTTTTTCATATGTTACCCAGGGCCGGTCTTGATGATTCATCATCAGCCTGGGCCGAAACAGAAAAAAGGCCCTAAAAGTCTTATCTTTAATGGTCTAAATAATTCACATATGTAAATTAATTATATTTGAATTATAATTAACACAATATTATTAGAAGAAAAAAATAAATGACAAAATTATAGTATTATAATTACATACCGTAAAAGCTAGCTGAGGATTCCTTGCATTCTTGAGAGCAAATTGGTTGATCACATCTTCACAGTCTATGCTCTCTAAGATTTCATTCTAGAAAGCTATTACCGCCAATCCACTAAGTATTTGTTGGGAGATTGTAGACCGTAAGTAAGATTTCAAGAGCTTCAATTTGGAAAAACTTCTCTCTGCAGATGCCACCGTTACTGGAACAGTCAACAAAATTCTATATGCAATGCAGGCATTCTGGTAACAACCAAGTTCTTTTAAATGCTTAAAAACATCTATGGGATTGCTAAATTCACTGGTTTGTAATGTATTGAATAATTTCAACTCCATGTAAAGCTCTTCAGCATTAATATCCGATCTTTCTTCAAACTTGAGTGCATTTTCAAGTTGATGGCAAAACAACTTATGGGGAAACAAAAATCCAAATAATCTCTCATAGTCTTTGAATTGTTCAAATCTCATCTCAAGAGATATGGCTTTACCCACAACATAAGAGAAGAAATTTACCCTGAAATTCTCTTCATTTGTAAATGACACTTCTTCGCTACTTGAACTCTCATCAACTCTTTTTTTCCTTCGAATCAAACGCTTTTCTGGAAATATCGAAGGTATATCCATTTCAGCAGCTATCTCCTTTGCTTCGTCAATTGCTTTTGAATAACCAGTTTCTCTATAACCCTTGAAGTAGTCAATCAATCCATTTATCTCTTTAATAGCAATATCAAGATGCATATCCTTTGATTGTAACTTCTTGCTCACTATATTTACCTTGTTTAATATTTGATACCAAATAACAATTGATACCAAAAACTCAAATTCACTAAGATTTTCTGCTAGTGACTTTGTTGTATGAACAATTGTATTATCACTATCTTTTTCTTCAACTTCAAGCAAAGCTTCTCGTACATCGGCAAATTGCATTCTAATTGCCTTAATACTCTCAACACGACTTTCCCAACAAGTTTGCGATAATGGCTTAAGACTCCAACCTTTAACATTATCTTTCAAAATTTGCCACCGATTAATTGAACGTGCAAAGATAGTATAAATTTTTTGGATGGCTCCAAAAAAAATTCTTACCTTTAACACAACTCTGAGCCATATCACATAATGTAAGATTAAGAGAATGACAACCACAAGGAGTGTAAAATGCTCTAGGATTGACATCCAAAAATCTTTTTTGAACTCCTTGGTGTTTTCCTTTCATATTTGCCCCATTATCATAACCTTGACCACGAATATCATCAATTTGAAGACCAAGAGACTTTAACTCCTCAATTGTGACATCAAATAGTCCTTTTCTGGTGGTATCATTAACATTCAAGAAGCCTAAAAAGGACTCTTCCACAGTAATAGAATTACCTGAGAAGTTTAAATACATCACTATCATAGTCATCTGCTCTTGGTGACTTGTATCAGGGGTACAATCAAGTATGATTGTTTAGGAGCCATAGCTATTGAATTATTTCTGAAATAAAATCCAAAATCATAAATTCTACTAAGTAAAATCAAGAATAAAAAACTGAAAAAAGAAAGCAAATAAATAAATAAATATATCATAAATTAATATCCATTCGTCAATTTTTCTTTTTTTAATTGTTTTTTTCTTTTTCAGTTTTAATTTTTTTATAAATCATAAATTCATATCAATTTATCAGTTTTTAATTTTTTTTTCAGTTTTCAGTTTTTTTAAATATAAGTATATAATTATCATAAATAACAAATTCAAATCAATCCTCCTATTTACAACAAAGCCCGCCCAAATATTCTAGCAACCGTCCAGACACGATCTCCTCGCTATCTCGCGAGTGCACAACTTCCGATCCTCTACAGCCGCGTTCTCAACCGGTGCAACAGAGATTGATTTTTCTTCCGATCCTCTTCGCTCACTAAGTGTTACAGCACAAGCATCTAGATGGGAGCCAGGTGGTGGGTAAACTGATTCTGTTAGCGGTAGTTAGGGCTGTTACTGATTTCTGGGAAGCTGTTATAGTTAGTTAGAAGTTGTTGTGAAGATTGTTGTAAGTCCCTTGTATAAATACCATACCCTGTGTACATTTGGGAGTTATGAATAATAAGACAACACTTTCTTCTTCCTCTCTTTCCTCTGTAACTGTCATTCTCCATTACAGTTAATTCGAAGCTCTCATTCTGCCATTAGAGTAGCTTCCTGATAACTGTAACATTGGTATCAGAGCTCCTTCTCGATCCAAACCACGACAATCTGGCCAATACACGTGCGAAGATCAAGATGGAAGAAGCATTGAAGAAGATGATCGAACAACAACGCGATTGGATGGCATCGCAGCTTTCAGAACAATGGAAACTCATGGAAGAACAGGTCTCTCGGCTAGCAAATCAACTGCAGGATTTGCAGACACAAGGATCTGGCAACTATCAAGAGTCAGGAAATTCATCAAATCACAATGGAGGCAGAAATCTATTCCATTTCAATCCGAAGATCGAATTTCCATCATTCGAGGGAGGAAATCCACGAGAATGGATCAAGAAATGCAGACAATACTTCTCCTTGTGTAAAGTACCTGAAGAACAGCAGGTAAATTTAGCCTCTATTCATTTCAAAGGTAGAGCTGAAATTTGGTTCAGTAACTATGGTCAAGGGAGAAATAACATTTGTTGGGATGAGTTTGTCATGGATTTGGGGGCCAGATTCAAGGAAGATGATCACAATGATATAGTAGAAGAATTCAATAAACTCTGTCAAACAGGAGACTTAGAAGAATATGTGGATAAGTTTGAAGAACTTAAAGGGCTGTTGTTAAGGAAGAGGCCTAACATGCCTCAGGAGTATTTCCTGGATAGCTTTATTGCAGGACTAAAGCCACAAATTAAGCCTTTTGTGAAGGCGTTTGCTCCAACATCAGTAACTAAGGCCATTAGTTATGCAAGGTTGCAAGAGCAAACTGTGGAAGCCTGGAGAACTCAAGATAAATCCAACAAGCACTCACAACTTCAATCTAACATGGGAAGGAATAATGCACCTTTACTAGCTAAGCCTGAATCATCTACCAAATCCAGCACTCCAACAGGCTACCAGGGTGCATTCAGACCTCAGGGCAGTTACAACACGTCTAGCTCAGCCAATAAACCAACCTTTACGCAGAGAAATCCCAAGTTCATCCTTGCATCTGTCAGGGCTGAGAAAATAGCAAAAGGGCTATGCTATTATTGCGATAAACCATTTGAGAAGGGACATAAGTGTGAGAACAGGGAGACTCAACTATTCCTGGTAGAAGTGCTGGGAGAGGAAGAAGCTGAGCAATTTGAATTGGCTGAGGTCGAAGCAAGGGTTGATAATGACCCCTCCATCTCATTTCATGCTATATCTGGGGGCAATGGATACCAGACAATGAGAGTCACTGGGTTTGTGGGCAAGAAGGCTTTACAACTCTTGATTGACTCCAGGAGTACACATAATTTCATGGACAGCAATCTAGCTTACAGATTGGGTTGCTACTTGGAACCCATTACTACATTGAAGGTGACAGTGGCAGATGGCTACAGCTTACAGTGTACACATGTCTGCAGAAAGTTTAAATGGAGGTTACAGGGTACTGAGTTCACCTCTGACATGTATATCATGCCAATAGGAGGTTGTGATATTGTGCTTGGCATCCAGTGGTTAACTACTTTAGGGACTATGAGGTGGAATTTCAAACAACTACATATGGAGTTTGAATATTTGGGCAGGAATCATGTACTTCGAGGAGCTAAACAAAGGATCAGTGTGATGAAAAAAGGGCAACTAGCTAAAACCATATGCACTATGGCACAAATGTGTATGGTCCAAGTTCAGAGGGAAGATTACCCTATCAAAGGAGGTCTGGAGGACAAAGAAGCCATACCCCAAGAGGTGGAAAGGGTGTTAGCACAGTAAGAAGGAGTTTTCAACACCCCAACTGGCCTTCCACCAAGCAGAGGGATTTTTTATCACAGCATTCCTTTAAAAGAGGGCAGCCAACCTATAAACATCAGGCCATACAGATATCCACTTAAGTAAAAGGATATCATTGAGAAGCTGATTGCAGAAATGTTGGATAGTGGTATAATTCAATTGAGTAACAGCCCCTTTGCAGCCCCAGTGGTGTTAGTCAGCAAGAAGGATGGATCTTGGAGACTATGTGTTGACTATAGGGAGCTTAATAAGGCCACTATAAAGGATAAATTCCCTATTCATGTGGTAGAAGAACTCATTGATGAGCTAGCTGGTGCTACAATATTCAGCAAGATAGACATGAGGGTGGGGTATCACCAGATTAGAATCAATGACAAGGAAGTGTTCAAGACAGCATTCAAAACACACATAGGTCACTATGAATTTCTAGTTATGCCCTTTGGCCTAACTAATGCGCCTGCCACCTTCTAGGGTCTTATGAACCATATTTTCCAACCCTTTTTGAGGAAGTTTGTGCTGGTCTTTTTTGATGACATCTTAGTCTACAGCAAAAGCTTGCAAGACCATGTGTCACACCTCCAAGAAGTATTTGGTATACTTCATAAACACACTCTATTCGCCAAAAGAAGTAAGTGTGACTTTGCTGTACGTAAAGTGGAGTATTTAGGGCACTTCATCTCTGGGCAGGGAGTGGAGACAGACCAGAGAAAGGTGGAGGCTATAGCCAATTGGCCTATCCCTCAAAATGTGAAGGAACTAAGAAGTTTTCTGGGTCTAGCTGGCTACTACAGGAGATTTATCAGGGATTATGCATCTGTTAGCAGGCCCCTAACAAACTTGTTGAGGAAGGGAGGTTTTAAGTGGACTAAGGAAGCACATTCATCTTTTGATAAACTAAAAAGAATGCTGGTGGAAGCCCCGGTGTTAGCCATTCCTGATTTTTCACTAACCTTTGTAGTGGAAACAGATGCATCTCAAAAGGGTATTGGGGCTGTGTTAATACAGAATAATCACCCCATAGCTTTCATTAGCAGATCTCTTGGCCCTAGGTGGCAGAATTTGTCTGTATATGAGAAGGAACTACTGGCTTTAGTCCATGCAGTACAAAGATGGGAGCAGTATTTGGTTGCCAAACCATTTATCATCAAAACAGATCAAAAAAGCCTCAAGTGGCTACTAGAGCAGAAAATATCTACACCCTTCCAACAATTTTGGCTGTCCAAGCTTATGGGATTTTCCTATGAGATCCAGTATAAAAGGGGGCAAGACAACACAGTGGCAGATGCTTTGTCTAGAGTCACAGGAGGACAACTCATGCAACTAGTGCTATCCACTATTGAGTCTGATCTCTTGTCTCAGATAACAGCTTCTTGGGTAGGAGACACCCAATTGCAGAATGTCATCCAACAACTGCAAGATGGGAAAAGTGTTGGCCACTTTTCTTGGGAACATCAACAATTAAGGAGGAAAGGGAAATTGGTAGTAAGAACTGATCCACAGTTAAAACTGAAAATCTTACGTTGGGCACATGACTCTCCTGCTGGAGGCCACTCTGGAAGAGATGTCACATTACAGAAGGTGAAGAATCTGTTTTTCTGGAAGGGACTCAATAAAGAAGTGACACATTTCATTAGACACTGTGTGATTTGCCAATCCTGTAAACATGAAACCACTGCCCCTGCTGGTCTCTTACAGCCACTACCAATCCCTCAGGAGGTCTGGATGGATGTCTCTATGGACTTTATTGAAGGATTACCCAACTCTTATGGTAAGAAGGTAATCTTTGTTGTTGTAGACCGATTGAGCAAATATGCTCATTTTATGAGCCTCTCCCATCCCTATACAGCGCTTGAAGTGGCTCAATCTTATTTGGACAATGTCTATAAACTCCATGGAATGCCTAAGTCCATTGTGAGTGATAGGGATGCTGTGTTTCTGAGTACATTCTGGCAGGCTCTATTCTCAGTGCATGGGGTAGATTTGTTACTCTCATCTTCTTACCATCCACAAACAGATGGTCAAACAGAGATAGTTAACAAATGTTTGGAAAGCTACTTGAGGTGCATGACCTGCGAGAATCCAAAAAATTGGTCTAAGTGGTTACCTCTGGCAGAATGGTGGTATAACACTACTTTCCATTCAGCTACACGTTTGACTCCCTATGAGATTGTTTACAATCAAAGACCCCCTATCTATTTACCCTACCTACCAGGGGAATCCAAAGTTGAAGCTGTGGACATGTCCCAACAAAAGAGAGAGGAGATGATCAAGGTGCTTAAGTTTAATCTGTGGAAGGCTCAAAACAGGATGAAACAGCTTGCGGATAGCCATAGATCAGAAAGGACTTTTCAGGTGGGAGACTGGGTTTGGCTTAAGTTCCAACCCTATAGACAAACTACATTGCTGACCAGAAACAATGAGAAGCTGAGCGCTAAGTACTCTGGTCCTTTCCAAATTCAAGCTGTTGTTGGCAAAGTGGCCTACAAACTGCAGCTACCAGAGGAAACCAAAATCCACAACGTCTTCCATGTATCCCTCTTGAAGCCCTTCAAAGGGACACTGCCAGCAAAGCCACATATCCCAACATGGCTACAAGGTCTCCGCACAGAAGACTTACCCAAGCCCATGGTTATTCTTGCTCGCAGACCAGCTAAGAAAAATAACATGGCAAAGACCCAGTTTTTGGTTCAGTGGACTAGTCAGTCCCCAGAGGATGCCACGTGGGAATGGGCCGAAGAGTTACTGAGTAAGTTCCCAGAATTCCAACCTTGAGGACAAGGTTGCTAAAAGGGGGATGGTATGTTACAGCACAAGCATCTAGATGGGAGCCAGGTGGTGGGTAATAGTTAGGGCTGTTACTGATTTCTGGGAAGCTTTTATAGTTAGTTAGAAGTTGTTGTGAAGATTGTTGTAAGTCCCTTGTATAAATACCATACCCTGTGTACATTTGGGAGTTATGAATAATAAGACAACACTTTCTTCTTCCTCTCTTTCCTCTGTAACTGTCATTCTCCATTACAGTTAATTTGAAGCTCTCATTCTGCCATTAGAGTAGCTTCCTGATAACTGTAACACTAAGCCTAGGCCAGATCCGTAGTTCCAGAAGAGAGACGACAGTGATAAAGGGGTAAGGATGCAGCGAGGATGGATGGCAGAACCAGGCTAGGGTTTAAACCATTAAATTCAGAGAACAACTCCTCGACTTGACGCATCACAGGGCAGGGATTCAGGGACGAGGGTAACGCCCTTTTCTTTTTTTTATTGAAATTTCTTTATATATATATGACCGAATCTTTCATTTTTTCCTCTTTTCTTCGATGGAGTGATAATGTCTCTGTCTTTGGATTCTTGCTGTAGGTCAACATCATCACAATTCAAGAATGACACCACCATTTTAAATTGGTATTTTTCTTCTCTCGAATTCATTTTTAGCTTTGGACTTTTCAAATAACAAATAAATTAGAAGTCATTTTTCCAAATTTAGTTTCACTGCATTGTGATGTATGAATATGCTCTCTATATATACATGAACTTATAATCTTCAATTGAAGTTTAGATTTTAGGTGCAAATATATCCATTTATCATCATATACATGTGATTTTTAAAGATACTAGATCCTAAAGTTTGATAATATTACAACACATAAGTCTTAAAGTTGTTATACATATTTAGTTTTAAGTTCGTATAATCAGTTAAATGTCTTGCAGTTCTCTCAATATGAAAGGTGAGGGTGAAGCCTCCAAGTGCCATGTGAAAGAAGCTAGAAGAATGAAAAACAACAGTCCCTACTGCAACTCCTCGGAGCAACTGCATATGCATTTGGTATGTTTTTACCGTTCATCACCCACTTGGAATATCAGGTTTTTTATACCTTGGAATCCGAACAAAATGCAAAAAAAATTGACATGTTTTACGATCTTATAATGTGTTCTGCTCTTTGATTTTGTTGGTTGTTTGTATATACTCCGTATTTTTTATACGGTTCCTGAAGACAATTTTTGTTAGTCTATTTATTATTTTTCTTTTATTATATTAATTAAGTGTCAATGGATTTGGAGTTTGAGCATTTTCTTATTAGTTCAGATTTTGCTTGAATATGCATGTTTAATTAAGTATTGATTTTTGAGAAATTTACCTAAATAGAAATAAAACATAATGACTTTCCTAATATAGGACCATATGTTTTTATTTCCCAATGTAGGACCTTTGGTCATTAACAAGTAGTCATTATTCAAGTAAATGTCTAGCATTACTGGACATTATTCCTCCCACTAGGTCATTATTAAGTCCTATTTAGGGAATAAAAAAGTTTAAGTCCTACATTAGGAAATTCATTATGTTTTAGTCCTATTTAGTGCAAATTTCACTTGATTTTTTATCTATTATTTTGAGCCTCCAACAAAAAGAGTAACCTTTTATTATTATTTAGGTTTCAAAATTTGGCTTAATATTGCTCGAGGTAGAAACAAAGATCAGATCTTCCACAATAGAGTTATCTTATGTACGGAGTATATTAAATGCATGTTCAAGCATAGTTTTGCATTTTTCTCATCATTAATGTAGCTTATGATTGCTGGTCATCTTGGCAATATTGTTGTGCTGGTATTAGATTGATAAACTTGGAATCACGAGCAATTTACGTTTCTGGATCAGAAGCTGCTTTACGACCCTTTTATTTACTTTTAGCAGAAAAAAGCAGTAATTGTTCCCGCCCAATCATCTTCTGAGCAATACGACGCAAGCTAGTGGGATGCTTGGTGATCATTGAAAACTGCAAGCCCCCAAGCACTTAGCAAGACGGATGGAAGCATGAGGCACATCCATAGGAGACAAAGAAAAAGGCGAGCATTTTAATCTGCTGGGTGCAGCATTGGTGACAGACGAATTTTGGGAGGGGGTATATGGAGGCTCTGGTGACTATCAAGGCTTGCTTCACTTCAACGCAGTTTGGATTGAGAATAGACATAGGGCGAGGGAGTACTCAAACGATTAAAATGAATAGAGAAGACAGTGAGATCTCCAGGAACATTGCAGCTTGAAGAAGAGGGAGATGGGTGGAGGTTGTCTTTGCAAGAGTTAAGCAATTGTTCATCATCTTTCTCGACATTGACCCTGCATATACAACACATCCAAATTTTAGCATCAATTCCTTCATTTTTTCATAATTGAGATTTCAAAGCTACCTTCTTGCCATTTATACTCCTATATATATCTCTCCATAAGAATTTCATATCCATTAATATCATCAAATTTGTAACTTCATCTTAAAACAAATGCGGGATTTGTTTAGATCAATTTACTTGAAGTGTACCATAAACAATCAATTTCTTATTTCTAGAGTATCATATCCTATGTGCATTCTACCACAATTATATGATTATTTGTTTCTAAGTAGCTAGTACGTGTTACTTTGATATTTACTAAATACCTTATTAATTTTAATTGGTTAGGTTGAAATGTTGAAGAACAAGTTTGGGTATGATGATGCATTTAACTACAAAGAAGAGAAGGACTTGAGGGCCACTTTGAAAAGGTTAGTTTTATGTACTAGTGTATGCCTCATAGATTATTTGTTCAATTTTCACCTTTTATAATAAATCAGACTCAACTTGTGACCTATAATTATATAAAAACTATATGGTATATTAATTAGATAAAATAATATTTTGAAAATATTTTACATAATAAATAATCTAAAAAAATAATTTTTGCATCAATATGCATGCAATCCGAATTATATTTAATTAACGATCAAAGTTTATCAATTTTGACAATAAAATTCAAAACTAGATAAATACTTTTAGAGAGAGATGATATTTAGTAATTAATGATTAATAAACTAATGGTTTTTCTTTGGTGTCTTTATCAGTGATATGATATGCAGACCCTCCCCTCCCCCCCATTAATTGTGTGATATATATGTTTCTATTGACACTTGATAATACATAACCTTAATTAATAATTTTCTATAATTTCTTCAAAAACTGTAAAATAACCTCAATTTTATTCCATATTAGATTAAAAAACTTTAGTTTCTTGCCATTGCTTATAAAATCTTTTTTTTTAATTTTTACACCTACAACCAAATAAATTAATTTTAAATAAAGTCGGTCAAACCTCGTAAACGAGAACGAAAAATTTAATTCAAATCTATTATTAATTACTCGTTTTGTCCCATAATTAAATTTTCCATTTCGGTTCATGAGGTTTGACCGGCTTTATTTAAAATTCAATTTATTTGATTACAGGTGTAAAATTCAAAAATAAATTTACATGTTTAAAAATTACATTTAAGTTTTTTGAAACAAGAGATGACACGATTATTTACTATTATGAAATAATGTGGAGTGAAAATAAACAAATAAAGTGATTAAAGTTTGATTGTGTGAATAGTGTCTAAGCAATTCAATTCCGAATGGGGGGAGTACTATTTTATTTCATAATTTCTCATTATTTTAGTTTTAGATAACTATCATTTTATTTAATTATTATGTAATGAACTCATTATTTTAGTTTTCATAGATAATTGTAATAATTTTTCCCAATCTAATATTTAATTAATTATTTTATTCAATTGTTATTTAATTACCTCATTTTTTAGTAATGACAAATACCATTATTTAGACATAATTGTATGGCTTAATTGAATAAAGTTGTTTTTACTCAAATAATTGCACATTAATTACCATTTTCAATTCCTACAAAAGATTTATAAACTTGTCCTACTCAAAATAAAGAAATGGGTATATTTATTGTTAATCAGATGCCTCCCCAAAAGAATCGATATTTACTTCAATAACGTGGGAGGAAAGATGCTAGATGCAGTGCTTCTCAACATTAATCTCGTGCATTATCGTATGCGGAATGATCTCACAATACAATCAAACGGAAGGACCTGAAGGCATTCATAATCTGATGACTCTCATCAGTAAAAGGATTCGCATGGAAGGGTTTATGGTTGGTGACTACTATCATCTATACCCTAAATTTCTTGAAACGGTTCGTTCGTATATTAAAGAAGGGAAGATTGCGTATATGGAAGACATTGCAGAAGGTCTTGAGAGTGCTCCTAATGCTCTGATCAAGATTTTTACGGGCGCAAACGTTGGGAAGCAACTGGTGGTTGTTTCTCACGAATAACTTTTATTTTTATTTTCGGAATCCATGGCCGGTCCCGTGAATGAATAATATTTGCTAGTTTCATTCCCAACGTTATTTGTGTTTTTTTGCTTCTAAGAATAACTCAGCATGGTGTTAATGTACTGTATTTCATTTTTAGTCGTTCTATTGCATGCTTTCACATTTTCAAATAGCTAGAAGAAAGAAAACAATGTGTTCTCATTTTTAGCATTAAAAATGGCAAGGCTTTGGTGAGAGTTATTTTGAATTTAAAGTTTTATGTTGCCTACTTTTGCAAGTAGGGGCAGACACATCTTGAAACCTGCTAGGTAGAGGTGTTCAAGTTTAGGTCTAGACCGAAAAATCGGCCAAACCAATGGGCCGTTACAGCATCTTGAAACCTGATGATGCGATGCCAATTTTGGAAAAATATCCTTTACATATTTCCTTTCAAAATTTTGGGAGTCCGCAAACTCTGAATCATGAACTCACAGAGTCCTTTCGTTTGAAAATCGTGATTTGAAAGGAAATTTTTGAATTTTGAAAGCATTCTCAAATTTACAGGTTTTGAAAAATGGTGAATTGGGTTCAAATATACAATTTGAAAGGAAGTCTTTGGGAAACATATTAAGAAGAATACGAATTCAATAAAAATTATATATGGATTTTGGGGACAGACCTAATTCTTGAAGCCACAAAAAATTCTGATTGCAATTATTGATTCTCTTAATCTTAAACATATCGAGACTTTCCTTTCGCAATACCCAATAATAAATCTGGCGAAGAATTGGTGATGAATCGGAGAATACTCTTTAATAAATCTGGCAAAGACTTTCCTTTGGCGACGAAGCAAATCACAGAGAAGAAATCGGCGAAGACTTGTGATTTGAGCGATGAAGAAAGTTTAAAAAATAAGCTATAGAAGCGTGTAAGCTTATGTTTCAAAAAATCTCACCCTTTAAAAGTGTCACATGTCAAAAATCTGTTCCAAATCTCAGATAAATTGTATTGAAAGTAACTTCAACGAAACATCATTAACCAAAATAGGCGATTGGAGCAAATAATCACATCAATTTCGACCCCTCCCCTCGGAATTGCAAAGTGTAATTAGAGTCATTCAGTTACACATATACACCAATTTCACGCTGACTTTATAATCAAACGACCAACCAAACACGATAGTGTAAATAATACTCGTAAGTAAAATCAAGAGAGGAGAAAGCATATGGCAACAAAAAAAGAGTTTCATTATCCAAAAACAAACAACCAACCAAACAAATACTCCCTCCGTCAGTTTTTTCTGTCTACTTTTGACTTTTCGATCAAAATTTGTAAACTTCAAACTCAAATTAAATAAAAATGATGCTCGTATTAGATATTGATACAAAAATAGTTTTACTAGATTTATTATATCAAATATTTTCAAAATATTATTTTACCTAATTAATACTCCCTCCGTCCCGGAGTATTCGTTCAGTTTTGAGTTTTGGAACTGTTCATATAAGCACTTTGACTCATCAAATTCTCTCAATGTGTAAACCTAAATATAGTCATGTGTGATCTTGTTTGATTTATCTTAACGGAGATAGTATAAGATATGTATTTTATATAGTTATAAGTCAAAGTTGAAAATGGTTGACCAAAAAAGTCCAAACTGGACAAGTACTCAGAGACGGAGATACGGAGATAGTAAGAGTTATGTACACACTACACACTCATGTCTCATTCTTCCATCAATATCGTTTTTTTGAATATATACTACTATACTATACATGTTTCCAGCTCACTACTCCCAATGAAAAAGCAATGGTTATATAAATCAGAGTTGAAAGAGTCATGCGCGTGCATGAAGAAATTCTGTTTTGGCAAAACAATGAAGGACAATTCTTGGTGTTCACCTACGCTAAAGAAGGAATTTACAACTCAAAATAATTTTCACAAATGAGATTTGGAAAATTTTTTCTAGACTGTATGTACATCTTGATGTAAACCTTGGTGTGCACAAACTTTAATTCAAAAAAATGAATGCGGAAAATTTTAGTTCTAATCCAGAACTTCAGGCCACGGGAGGTAAAAACTCGCGCAGCACCAAGCTTGGAGGACATGTCTAAATTACCAGCTAAGTCCGAATGTCCTCCCTGCATCATACGGAGTATATTTTAGTTGGCCATAGAAGCTCTCCAAAGTTCTCTTGCGCTAACCGGACCAAAAACCTTTTTCGGGTGCACCTTATGATGAATGCCAATTCAATGCATCCCTTATAACCTGCAAAATCAAGATGCCAAAATGAGATGAAATATTGAAATCATATCAAGCATGAGAATAAAATGGCTAAAATCAATGTGCAGTGATTAAAAACTTTCAGGAAGAACAAGGTTCATTTATCCTTTGACAAGTAGTCCCTCTGGACCTTATGATTTTAATACATAATAAGGTAAAGCAGATGTGTCATGTGCATGAGATATTAATTATCCTGCAGTGGTTCTACCAGAATTGGAGACAAATGAATTGAAGCATTACCAAGGAAGCTTAAAAGTGTCCTTCAACCACCCGTGTTTAGAGCAATTTGTGACAATCTTATCTGTCCGCGCTATGATCTGGGAAAATGTTGGCCTTACAGCAGGTTCAGGATCCCAACATTCTTCAATCAACCTATAATGGATTCAAATGAATCAGAGAGGCACAAAGAAACAACCATACCGATGAGAAAGGGCATGTGATATTTCTAGGGCTTGTTCAGCATTTCATTATTCATAGCGTCATAGGTGCCCGGGAGCATAGCTCAAGTGGTTAATAGGGGGTGCGAAAGGGTAAATCATCTATAGGATTATGTCCCATTGCAAAAAATGATATTGTGAAATTAATATGTAAGTCATCTATAAGATTATATATCAAAACTCTTACTAAGAGTACAGAGATGTAGAGTTGGTATGTGTAATCCTATCATGTTAATCTGGGTGTATGCTTCATTGAGATGGCAGAACAATGTACTAGATAGGGCAGGATGAGTACAAACCCCATCAGTACCAATATACTATTGAAAATTCAGTATTATTTACATGCAACACCCACCTCCCCAACCTCATCATCAACGAATACCTCATGATTATAAAACATGTGATTGTGATCATCAATACCAGTGAAAAGAAATTAGTGAAAGACAAAAGAAAGACGTTATGCCGCTCCCTATTTTCAAACAAAACTTATAGTAAAATCTTTAAAATCCGATGCCGATTCGCATACACAACATTCAGAAAATGGAACTTTAGATATAAAATATAGGTTAACCACATTCTATCCACATGTTCTCCATCATATCATCAAATTATGGAGAGTTATATGCATATATAGTCCCTGTGGTGTTTCATAAGTGGGTAAATAGTCCTCGAACTTTCAAGAGTTGCCAAATACTCCTTGTGGTCAAACAACCATAGCATATTTAGTCCCTATATTAGAAAATTCGCAAAATGTACACAAGACGTGCGTATTATGCAAAGATGTCAATCATGTAAGAGTAAAAAAGCTAATCTGACATTTCAGTTGTGATGTGTAACTTTGAACCATAGTACAATATCTTCCATCTTTTAGTTTAACTCTTACAATGAATTCTCCGTCTCTTCTATAGTGATTTTCTTGAATCATAGTACAATGTCCTATGTGAGCTCGACATTATTATGTTTTTCAAGTAGCTTTATTCTAAGGTAATATCGTGTGAGAAAAGAGCTAGAAAAGGACCATTCCTTGCCTTTCACCACGAAGACAAGGGCAATTTTATGAGATCAACTTCCTTAAGAAGGGACTAATTATGCATCAATTCTTTGACCACAGGGACTATTTTGCAACTTTTAAAAGTACAAGGACTATTTACCCACTTATGAAAGATCACAGGGACTATTTGTGCATATAACTCAATTATGGTTATGCCAATGCTTTATTATAAGCAAGAAATGCAACATACTGCACATGGGAGAGTATAAGGAACCTTTCATACTTAGTTATTCTAGGCAGTAGGCATGCATGAAACCAGTCATTTGCAAATAAGACTATCATATGAATGTTCACAAGTACAGAAAATATCTTGAAGTAACAAAAGAGTTAAGATTTTTCAAGAGCTATGTGAATTGAAATATTGCATTACTTTCAAACTTATGCTTAAAATGATTCTCCAATTACACACGTCCCCAATCCAACCCCCAACCACAATTGCCAATTTTAAATATAAACAAAAGACAAGAAAAGAGCATGATGACACACAATAATACAATGGAGAAAATAGCAGAAGTGATCCTTGTGTACGGAATGTCATTCAGGATGCAATCTGACCGCTTACCCATAATAAAAATAGCACAACACCCATGAAGAAAATTGTATCAAATCTATATGACAGCACTTCAACGGCTAAAAGCTTCATTATAGCTAAAATATTGAAAACAGAAACAAATCTGATCTTACTCTTTCAGATCAGGAGGATATTTGGATTTTGTCTTGAATGTTGGTCTTTTTCCTTCTATACATAACAACTTTGCAGCCTCTTCAGGGAGTTTTGGATGGAAAGGAGGGCATCCTTCCATCATCTGAAGTCAAATTAAAGGATAAATTGTAAGCCAGTGAGCTAAAAAAATAACTGGTTGCATGCTCTAACAGGNGATTCACATTTGGTTCCATCCTAAAAAAGGTAAAACGATAGGAGGATTAGACAAATCTCCAAGTCCAGTATCGATCATTTGAACTTAATAAGCTTTGGTACCATAATAAGACATGGCGTCCATCTTAAATGTCAACCTAATAAAAAGAGCATCTCAAAGGTTTACATTTTGGTTTTTATCTTCATATTTATTCCATGCCAATGTGAGATGATTCATTCGGGGTGATTGAGGCCTTGAGGGAGGGGACGAAAAACTAATTTTCTATTTGAGAGCAACTGTAAAGGGCTGCATGCAAAACTGAGGCCACTTCTTTGACAGATAATTAATAAGATAAATACGCAGACATCATTCCTTTCCTATCAAAAACTCCGCATTTAGAAGGCTTTGGATGGGAAGCTGAAAATAGTCTAAAACTAACCGTCATCATATTTCCTTAAAATGGCTTATTAAAAATAACTCAGAAGAAAAAGGTGTACCTCATAAAGTATGATAGCAAAAGAGTACACATCAACACTTCTACCGAATATATCATCCCTATAAATCTCAGGTGCCACATAGTAACCTACAATTCACAATATAATACTCAATCTCCTAAGTGTTGCAGTAAATAGGCATGTGTCACTTTATTACATCTATTCAGGTGTAAACTGAACATCTGTTACGAATTGGAATGTCACATTTTGGTCTATACGAACTGAAGCCTGTATTCTTAATAACATACTTGAACGGTCATAAGCATGTGGCTGCACCAATTTTGCTTTCTCGGGAGAAATTTTTGACAGTCTAAGCAAACCAAATCCTGCAACTTTCAAGAGACCTCCATCGTCCAGCAAAATATTTCTGGCACCTTACCAAAAGTTGAATATTACTAACAGCGCAAATCCCAATGAGTGCAGATTATAACAGCAATTATACACCTATTCACCTAATAAACTCAAGTATTTAGTTTCCTTACTTTGGCTGTAAACTACAATGGATAATTGGGTCTGGTTTACATTCATGAAGATAATTCATGCCCCTGAAAATTAGAAGACAAATATCAAGTAGCAGAGCATGCAGAAAATGGGCAGCTACAGCAATGTGAACAATTACTACGCATGCTGAATAAGATCAGAAAATGATCCAAGAGTTGATACTTATTTAAGTACATCATTCAGGAAACAACACTTGCCTGGCAATATCCAGGGCAAATCTTAGAGATTTAGAAGGAGATAGACGCCCTTTCTTTTGAAGATAGGTACCCAGGTCACCCTGAAAAATTGCCACGGTAAATTTTATGTTGATGACATTTATTAAGCTAAGGATTTTTTTTGTCAACTGTAGACAATAGACATGAATTATTGCTCGATATAAGAAAATAAAAGAAAAAAAATACATCAAAACATAGAATCAGAGAATGATTACAGAAGTTAAATATCTTAGGCTAATCGAATTATTTAGCCCATCTAAAGTGAGTCTGCAATATCAGAAGCTAGATGTGCAAAATAAATGTTGGATAAATTCATATAGATTTATGGATTGATAAGAGGGCACACGGGAGGGGAGGCATGGGATTTGATGGGTTAGGGAGAGAGATTCCTACTCTTGGGTGATACTCAGAAACAATCATCATCGGAATGTTTTGAGTGACAGCACCAACAAACTGAACAACATTAGGGTGTCGTACTTTCTCTAACAACATTAGTTCATGTTTGAAAGCATTTCTGTATGCAAAGACAAGGAATTAAAGAAAAAAAAAGTTAGGCATTAAAGTTAAGAACACTTTATGAAAAAGAAATAAACAAGAAATTATGAGTGGGCTGATAATTATTTATCTTAAACAGTAAATTGTATATTCTTTTTCAGTGGCCACAGTTTTATGAACATTTAAGCACTGCTGAATGCATACATGCTTTCAGGGTCTGAATAGCAATCCTTATCGAGAATCTTCACTGAAACCTTTGTACCATTCCATTTAGCAACTTGATAAGATCCCTGCACAATGTAAATAAAAGAAACATACAAAAAAAACAGTGATTGTGTCATGTAGAGATCCTCAGATCCATTCAGGATGAAATAACTAAAATAGTCCAATACTACTTTCTCTTTTCCAACACTGATGAACAAATATAACAAGTAAACATGGGCATATAAGTTGGGGGAGTTTTTGCCCAGTATCACAAACCTAACTAAGAATCTAAGATGGATGTTCAAAATAGCTAAGTTCTTGCACACAGCTTTAGATATTTAAAGAACTAGATATTAGTCAATAGTTTATTGGAACGAATCACAGCGAATTATAACCCCAAATACCATTGCATTCTAGTGATAATGAACGCTTTTTCAGTACATCAGAAGGGTGATTCTTTTGTAGGCATTAGGCAAAGGGTCCTTGGCTATGGATAATGTGGATGACTATACATTTCTACGATGGAAACAGAACTTAACAAATGAATTCCAGTAGAGTTGAAATTCTTCATGAACTTCTGTCCCACGTGGGAACAAGATACGCATGTTAGACCGATGTATAGTAGGGTGTATATGCCATGTAGAATTATTACACAGTATGCTTTATGGATAGTATAAATTGAAAGAACATAAGATCTTGCCTTGATACCATCACTTCTGCGAATCTGAAGTTCCAGGGGATTGAGCTCATACTCTGGAACTTCCCGCGGATTAGCAACAGCCATTGGTGTCTTTCTGATTTTCTAGCAAATTGGCAATGACTCCAATAAGCACCAAAAAACTAAATAGTCTGAATGTGAGATTTGAAACTGAACCCACTTACTGGAACTTTGGCCCCACGGGCCTTCAAAATACTATACACTTCAGAATTTCCATAATACTTAGCATCAGCTGCTGCCTGCCATATTGTTTAAAGAGCTAAGGATTCTGACAGAAACCAGTTCCAAAAAAGGATTTAGAAAGAATAAGAAAATAATCTAAGAGAAGCCCTTGAGCAAGAATCCCGCCTTAGAGGACTTCTATTAGCCTGGAGAATCTCCCGATAAAAATTTACTGTGTAATTTTCGATAATCAGGTCTATTTATACAAAGTGACTCTAACTTCCACAAGTAATAACTTACTCATAACCTCCCACTAAGTGGCAAAAACACACTCCAAACATCCCTCTTACAAATTAGGTATAACTCACTCCGAACTTCTCATTAAGTGAGATTAAATTATTATTTAATGATAAATAAACATACTCAACAATAAATTAAATAGCAGAATTAATCAACAGAGCCAATCATTACTCCCCCCTCCCCTATAAATTTGTCTTGTCCTCAAGGCAAAATGCTAGGAAAAAGTGTCTTGGTATCGGGTGGTTTTGGTAAGGGTGGCAGGAAAACAATATAAGAATCGGCTTTGAGCAAACTATATCTGCAACAACATCTCCATCGTTGGAAAGTAACTGCTGCTATGATAGCACACAAGGTATTATAAGAGATTGTTGAACTCATTGTGGCAGATGTAGTTGTGTCCTCGCAGCCATGAAGTATTGGGGATCGGTTGTTAGCTCTCATGAGAATCTTAAGTGGGGAAAATAATGTATGGGGCTGTTTATTGACACTTTTGTTATAGGAGAGAGAAGATATTTTGTACACGAACAACAACATTACCCTGGTGCCTCAAAGGCTCCCGCCCATTACGGGGTAAGGGGGGTCAGATGTACGCAGCCGGACCCCTACGTTTAAAACATCGAGCGGCTATTTCTGGACGACCCATGATGAGCGTTGAAAGTTGCATTGACTAACTGCTACTTCACTATTGAAAGAAGCCCATACAGTTTAAAGAGTCATTATGCTTTATTCCATCATACCCCACAACCAAAAAATAGTGACTCTTTGGCCCCATCATAGATGATGGAAGTAGAAGATATCCTGTACAAAGGCTCCAAAGTTACATTTGTCTCATCATTGACTTCAAAAGCTTCTGGTACTATTCTTTTTTCTACATCACCCTCCATGGGAGAAAATGGACGAGGACAACGATGGAGCATATTTAAATTTTCACCACATGATAACACATGGTTCCCTCAAATTATAGGGCTATGAAAGCCTTTTTAAACTGCGCTTTAGACTTAACAACCTTGTATCTCTGCTTCTGGATTTTCTTCCCTCCAACCTCTAGATGAAATCAATTAGCTATGACTCCTCTGCAAGTTGGCACATGTTGAAAAGCCTTGCCTCGAACTTCGCATGGTGCAACTTTCGAATTAATGACATCAAGACAAGCTATAATGCAGAGTAATTGGTGTTGTTTGTAAGGGGAATAACAGTTGGATGGGAAATTGTATAGAGAAAATGGATAAACAAAACTTGTGCGGAAGGAACCCTTAAAGATCTTATGTCTCTCATACCAAATGATAGAAACCAGTTCAACTGAATACGATTTAGAAAAAATAAGGATATAATCTAATAAAATCCCTTAAGCAAGAATCTCGCACAATTAAATAATTACTAAATGATAAATAAACAGACTCAACAACTAATTAAATAACTATTTTATGACTTTATCAACCAGCTTGGAACCAATAAAATTCATAATTTGATGTAAGTAGCAATAATAACACATTTTCAATTCAAGTAAAATCCTGAATGGTCCTTGTTTTTTGGTGCTTTCTAGTGATGCAGTGGAAGTTGGGCTGCAGTAATCTCATCAGTTTGTCATTTCCTACATTTCTCCACAATTAAATTAAAGAACTTTGGGGCGGTGACTAGTAACTATCTAAGTTGCTCCTCCTCGCCATTTTCCTTATTCTTATTGGCACGAGGTGATCCAGGTTTGCAGGACTAATACTCGGCGTTTTAGACCCCGCCCATAGAGCCCCAGAGAAGTTAAATCTAGGTGCATTCTCAACTAATGTATGAATCTATTTACCAATGTTGACTATGGGGGTGTTTGGGTATAGCATTTTGCCAAGCAATATGCTATTTTTTAGCAATATGACTTATCAAAGTGTGCTTTCATGTGTATGGCAATATGACTTGTCCAAAATGCTTAAAAGAAGAGCTGTATACATTAGCATGTTCTGATTCACATACCACTAATCCTACATAATACCTTTTTCGGTAACTGGCGAATGTAAACTGCTCATACAAACTGCTAACTGTAATATGTTAATAGTATTCGTTAAGGGAGGTGCTAAATCCACACCCAAAATGGCTATATACCTTTTCACTTAAATTTGCTAAATCAACACTCATTAATATAAGTTTGACATTAGTAGGTTTAGCAAAATTATGTGAAAGGTGTGGATATAACTATTTTGGGTGTGGATTTAGTTTCTTATCTTTTTGACAAATTGAGCATATGTACTTTTCTGCACAAGAAGCTGCTTCTAAGGTTCATTTACAACTGTTCCACTGTTGATTGTTCCCCTGCTTCCCCTTTTCCATTCTCCCCGTGGGTTAAGGTAGACTTCCCCAATCCCCATTAGGTATTTGACCAGAAAAAAATAAAGAAATCAGAAATGAGGAGAGGTTAAAAAAATACTGCAAAAAAATGAATACAGAGTACTGCCAGTTTGAGAAGGATATGAAGAGCTATGTGCCAGTTCAATTCCATTAGCTATTCACGCTCTGTTCTTTTTTGTTGTAATTCTAAAGTTGGATGTTGGAAGAAACTGAAAAAGTTGGAAGAAACTAGAAGGCGTTGGAAGAAACGGGAAGAAGTTGAAAAATGTTCGAAAAAATAAACTTTTAAAAAATCACTCAATTAGATGATCACCCAAATAAATATGTAAGAAACTGATTTTGGATATAAAAACAAATCATCTTTGTCCGTGTTTGAAGTGTTGTGTTATAAATTTGGATATATAATGTTATTGTATAGTCATCATATTTAAATCATTGTTGAAAGAAATTAGGAGTTAGAAAAAACTAGGAGTCGGAAAAAGTTAAAAGTTAATTTTTTTAAGCGAAAAGAAGAGAGCCTGACAGAGGAATAATGTACCCAACTTTTATCTCACAATTTTTCAACTCGGTCTCCTGTGTTCCAATTATTCACTCCGTATGCTTCTATTTTTCAACTCGGTCTCCTGTGTTCCAATTTTTCAACTCGGTCTCCTGTGTTCCAATTATTCACTCCGTATGCTTCTATTTTTCAACTCGGTCTCCTGTGTTCCAATTTTTCAACTCGGTCTCCTGTGTTCCATTCGCGCTCAAAAATTCATCCCCTCTATATCTTGTGAGATTCCATTTGGACAGTTGGTTGGTGAAGTAACTTCGCCAAATAAGGGCTATAAGGCCAGAGAAGACAATTGACTTTTTGCACTCAAAATGACAAACTTTAACCATTAATTAAACACAACTGATAAGAAAAATTGATACAAAAATAATTGTATTAGATTTATCATTTAAAATATTTTCAAAATATTATTTTATCCCATTACTCTACCATAGTATAATTTTTATTTAAATATAGAATCTAAAAAATCAAAACTTTGACAACGGGAGGGACAGAGGGAGTAGTTAGTAAAGGCGGGCATTACCGTGCTGCCCCATCGATCACGGGCATCGATATTGGCCTTTCTGCTGAGCAGGAGCTTCACCACCTCCACATGCCCCTCGCAAGCGGCAATATGCAGAGCTGTTCGGCCATCCAAATCGATGCTATTGACATCAATCCCTTCATCCAGCAACTCCTTGACACCCTCTACGTCGCCCTGGCAAGACATGAAGAGGAGCTGCATAGTCAAGTCGAGGTTCTCCGGCACCGTCAGCAATTCGGCTTCATCAGACGGACACCGCCGAATCGGATCTAGCGAAGACTGCCTGCCGAAGCTGAAACGCAACGTATTGCGGCGTGGATCGAGCGAATTTTGGCGCCGGAAGCTGAACCTGCCGCTCCTCTGCACCGACCCCGTCGAGAATTGCCGTGATATGCCCCGCTTCAGCTGCGCTGCCATGTCCATTTTGTTAACGCAGTTCATTTCCCTCGCAATTGCATCATCGGAGACGATCGACACCAAATACAAAGCTCGATCGAGAGCGCGTTGAGGAGATAGCTCTCGACGGCGAGCAATGAGAGGGAAAGATATGAATTTGGTGAGAGAATGAAGATGTAATGTATTCTTCCACAGAGTCGCCCGGAAAAGGCGTTACAGCTAGAATGCGAGACAAAAGTGTGCTTCCTCATCCTTAATTCTCCCCCTACATTTATTTTTCGTTTTGAACCGTTGCTTTTCTTATTTTATTAAGGATCAATCCCCCCACATCATCATTTCTCTTTTTCACCTCTCCCTCAAAACATCTTGCATCCACAATAGTAGCATCTTTTATTAGGTGTCCAAATGTGGACCCCACTTCAAAGATGTTATTTTAGCATCTCTCTTAACATCCAATTCGTCCAATGGTGGCATCTCATTTAGATGTCTAAACATTTTTTTTATTACATATTTCAGTGGGTCCTACTTCCATATAAATAAAATAATCTTTTATTTTTATTTAAAAATTGGTATATAAATAAAAAATAAAACCTACTCCCTCTGTCCCATTTTAAATTGCCTGTTTGCCTTTTTTCTCCGTCCCAAAATAAGTTGCATGTTAGTTGTTTTCGTAAACTTTTAAAAATAAAATAACTAAACTACCCCTAAAATAAGTTTCTCTTCTTCACCTTATCTTCTCATTCATCATCACCCCTCCTAAAAAGTAATGTCAATTTCGAAAAATCAACTCTATTTTTTATTTTCCTTAAATATGCACAAAAGTCAAAACAGGCGATTTAAATTGGGACGAAGGGAGTATATATTTAAAACACTCAATACTCAATTGGTTTGTATAATTATATTAAAACACTCATATAGTCATACTGAATATGAACTTAATTTAAAAAAAAGTCATTGCAATTGGAACACGATAAAATTGCTAGCTAATTCTAAGAAAAAGCTATTAATAAAAACCCTCTACACTAATTAAAAGAAACAAATAAATAATAAAAATGACACATGGCACATAAACTATTGGAACACTAAATTAAAGTAATTAAAGGAAGTAGTAATTTCAAGTTGGAACATCGGTGCTCAACCTAGCATCTTCCCCTCTCTTTCTTCATTGGGCATCTTTATTGAGCATCTACCTACAATGGTAACATCTCTTAACATTTCATTCTCTCTCATCTAGGCATCTCACTTGAGCATCCCATTGGAGATGACCTTAGGACTATGCTACACTTACATCAAAATTTATACTCCAAATTTGTACTAAAGGTATACATCAATATTTTAATAGTTTACACTGACACAAAGTATTATTGAATTAACAAAAATTTATACTAACACAAAGTGTTGGTGCGTTAACAAAAATTAGCATTACATCAACACAAAATATTGGTGCACACATACGGTGTATAAATGGGGTACAAACCCTTGGGGTACAAATAGCTTTATCCTCAATATTATTGTCATCTCATCGTGCCTCTTTATTTCTTTTATATTACTCATCATTTTTAATTTAAAATCTTTATTAAAAAACAAAATATAAATAATTAAAATAAAAATGATGATAAATGTTAGACAATAATAATAATATTACTTCTGATACTATTGGTTATGGTAGTGTTTGATTCTTATTCAGCTTTCTATTCCTAATTATGGTATATATCTTGTATTTTAGTTAGTCTACATTCTCTATTCCTAGTTGTGTTAGGAGTCTCTCATATATATACTCTATCATTTACTCCATAATTTAACAGAGCAATATTATTATTCCAATATTTCAACATGGTATCGGAGCTACTACAACTACAATATTATTATTCCAATACCTCTACAACTCACGCCTTCAAGAAAGAAACATGGCATTGCCCGGATCCAAGAAAATGACAAAGAATGTCAAGGATCTTCAATCAAACAGGCATCTCCAATAGTCTTCTCTGATTCTTCTTCGACGTCAGCAGCTACCAGCGCACATCAACCCTTTCTCTCTTTTCCAACTATGTCAGCAGCCACTAGCGCACGTCAGACTTCTCTCTTCTCCAACGACGTCAGCAGCCACCGGCACACGTCAGGCTTCTTTCTTCTCTAACGATGTCAGCAGCCATCGGCGCACGTTAGACTTCTCTCTTCTCAAAGTTTTCAGTTTCCAGCTAGTTTCCAAATTTCCTCTTGCATCAGCCAGAGTTTAGTTTGAGGGTGATGTTAGACAATAATAATAATAATAATAATAATAATAATAATAATAATAATAATAATAATAATAACAACAACAACACTTCTGGTAGTATTAGTTATGGTAGTGTTTGATTATTAGTCAACTTTTGTAACGCCCCAAAATATACCCTAGAATTATTAATAAATAATTATTCAATTAATCAAATTTGTTTTGATTAAAATAAATCGTTGTTGGGCTTTAGGCCGAAATAAAATATGTATTGATATCCAATAAACATATTTGGGATGAATCTCATAGAGATAAATCCAACATGTTGACTTATTGTGTGATCTTATTTGGGAACCTGAGTACAGACCCAAATTAAGAGTAAATAGAGAATTTGTTTATTAAATGAACTTTGAAATGAATTCTTGAAATAAACCATGAGAATAAATTTAATGTGAGAACCTTTTATGATAAAAGTCAATTAAACCAATTTTGACTCTGTCAAAGTCGAACACCCAAAAATATGATGTTGGAAAAACTATTACAAGTAAATATAAAAAGTATATCATTAAATAGAGTTTGACTGTCTGATCGCAATGGTGCAAACGGAATTCAATTCGGATAAAGTTGGACCAAAAAGTGTACCCCGACTGGGACCAAAATTAGTCCCAATCAGGGACGGCACCTCCTACTCCACTCAGCCGAATGAAGATCGTGAATTTGGAAATCTATTCAGCATCTATTCAGCAAGTGTCTTCTTCTTCATTATCTTCCCTATAAAAGGAGAAGCTAACTTCTTCATTTCTTCACCATTCTTCACAATTCTTCTTCTTATTATGTTCCTGAAAGTGTGAGGAGTGTTATGGTGCTTTCAATTTGTTGAGAAGTCGCCGGAGCTAGCCACAATCCTCGCCGGAAGTTTCGCCAGAAAATCTTCAAAACCTCCATTATGCTTCGAGGTAAGCCCGTTGATATATCTAATGATTAGAATGTTCGTATAGATCGTTTCTACGTTCATAAACGGTCGTTTGGTTGAGTTTTGTGTTTGACATGATTGAAGAACCAAGAATTATAAACCATGAATTTGATGTTAAAACTATGAATTAATGATTCCAAAATGATATATGAACCTTGGAGAACATCTCTATATAGTTTAATTGAAGTTCAGTGACTAAAAATGGTTTTTCTAGAAAAAAGGACCGAGGTTGAAGTCAAATGAACAGTGGCTGAAAATCCACAGAGTGGATCGATCATCTCACCTGGATCGATCATCTAGGAGTATTTTTCCATAGTATGGATCGATCCAGAGGGCTGGATCGATCCTCCGAAACTCTAACCTGAAAATTTGTCTGAAAATACTATTTTTGAGCTCTAAAATCCTATTTTTTATACCAATTGATTATGATCATTATAAAAATGATTTATCACAATAAAAGTGAAGTTTTTAACAAATAAAAATGTTATGTGATATATGACGGTAAGTTAGGGTGTTAACACCCGAAGCTAGGCCGCTAATTGTTATTGAATATTACGTTGATTGATGATTATGGTAATTGATTGATGATTATGATGATTGAATCTTGATAAATGTTCTGATTAAAAATCGAAATTATGAATGATTAAATCATAATGAATATATTGATGATTGTGAAAATAATATGTATTGTTAAGGGTATCTAGAAGACCTCTAAGATATACCCATATTAATGTTGATTTAAAAGGTATCTAGAAGAACTTTAAGATATACCTATATAAGTTAGGCCTTGCGGGTATGATGTCCGGTGGCTAGGGTTAAAACGTACGCACGGGATCCAAGAACCAAACTTGAGTGCCTACTCGTTTGGGGGTACCACCCACCCAATAGTGAACACTACGCTGTCGGTTTTTGGTTGATCTTAAGCGAAGGTAAGTTTAAGATTTGAAAACTCTTTTTAAAATATATCTTAAACTAGGCCTAGCTTAAGGATTGGATTATCTTGAACTAGAATTAGTTTAAGAATGGAATTGGCCTTAGACTAAAATAGTTTAAGGATATTGTTGAATACGAATGTTGAATATTGAATATGAATATTGAATTTTGAATATTGAACATGAATGTTGAATGTTGAATATTGAATGATGAATATTGAATAATGAATATTTACACTGAACATTATGTGCATGATATCAAATGGTTGATTATGAATTGAGATTCAATTTATGTGGATGTTCGACGCATTAGATAAGCTTACTCAGCTTTACCGCTGAGCGTGTAGTGTGTTTTATTTGCTACACGCAGGTTAATAGAATGATGTGACGTGATCCTGGAGGCAGACGGAGGCGAGATAGTCGGAATGGATGTGATGGTTTTGAATTAAAGAATATAAATAAATTATGTTTGTGGTTATGATTTGTTAAGCTTCCGCAATATTGAAAACTCTGTACTGTTTATGATATGAAAAATATTATTGTGATAAATAAAAGTGTTTGAAATGTTTTAAATTTTAAAATTACCAAGTTAATACTTTAGTCCGAAAGGGGCTGCAGATTTGGACGGATTAGGGTGTTACAACTTTCTTTTTCTAATTATGGTAGATGTTATATTTTAGTTAGTCTCCATTCTTTATTCCTAGTTGTGTTAGGAGTCTCTCCTATATATACTCTATCATGTACTCCATAATTCAACAGAGCAATATCATTATCGGTTAAGGAGCAAAATAGGAGTAAAACATTGATAATATACCAAAATAAGAGTTGAAAGATAAAACCCCCAAAATAGGAGTAAATACATTAACTGCCACCCATTTTAAATTCATTTTCATTCCAATCGCCAAACACTAAGAGATTTAACCAAATCTCCAACTATGGCCCCTCAACTACATCATGTCGTCGCCGATGCTGCCGACATGCAAAGAGCCATCGATAATGTTGCCCCAGCCGCCACTGGTAGACCTGGAAAAATTTGACCTGACCCGCTATTAATCCAAAACCCGACCCGAAATTAGCAGGTTTTGAACATTGATTTTGCGACCCGAACCCGAAATGACCCGAACCTGAAGACCCGTTAAATTTTCGGGTCAGAACGGGTCGGGTCGGGTTTCACCCGGCGGGTTATGCACTTAATTGCTTTTTATTAGTTATTTAGTTTTATATATTCTTTTAAAATATGAATATATATATATATATATATTTAATTTTTTTTCATTAAAATTCAATAGAGCTGCAAGGTCCAAAATACATCATACATGCCTAGAAAATCTGAAAATACCCAAGCTAAAAAGCTGTGATTTATATAACAAAGAAGTATCCAAATGCTTAGCCCAAAACCATTGCTGGAGGATCTGATTTATAGAAGTCATAATATTCTCCTTCGAAAACCTAGCCTGAGCCAAAATGCAGGAGTTGTATGCCTTCCAAATGTTCCAAATCAGCAGCCCAGGAAGAACAAACCTCACATTGCCCAAAATGCTCTTCTTGTTAGAAGAAAACCACCAACTTAACAGCATCTACTGTAAAGAGAGAGGGGCAGCTGAAAAGGGAGCCTTGGCAGCATCTGCATAAGCTTTCCAAAGACCAAAGATCTCCCTTGCCAAAAGAGTATGCTCCATCAGCCCATACAATCCTGCCTTGTGATGAGGTGCAATAAGGTGATATAAAAGAGTGAGCCTTGCAGATAGACTTCCAAGTAGCAAAATCATATAGCTTAGGAGTGAAGGACCCATCCCTGAAGTACTTCCGGTGCATAAAAGTCCTCCAAATGGTTCCACCCTGCTGAACCTTCCACCATAAATCCATGGCAGCAGCCCTTTGACAATGGCCAAGATCCCTTACCCCTAATCCACCCTCCTGCAAGGGGAAACAAAGCTTTTCTCATTTCCTCCAATGATACTTGTGGCCCTCATCCTTAGCCCCCCAGAAAAAATTAGCCATCATCATATGAAGACACTTAATGACAGACTTAGGTAGTTCCTGAACCGCCAAGATATGCAAAGGAATGGAAGAGAGAACATGCTTAATCAAAATAAGCCTCCCCATCTGGTTAAGCTTCCTACTATACCAGGCTGCAATCCTTCTCTCAAACTTCTGGATCAGTGCTTGGCAGTGAGCTTTCCTCAACTTTCCTCTCACAACAGTAGACCCCAGATAAGTAAACTCTCTGGTGGTACATCTAATGCCAAGTATACTTTTAATCTTAGCCCTATGTTCCTGCCTCATCTTATCATGAACAATCACCTGACTTTTATTAAAGTTAATCGCCTGACCAGATGCCATCCCAAAAGTGGAAAGAGATGCCTTTAGCCTCAAGAGATTCCTACAGTCAGCTCTGGTGAAAATGACTATATCATCAGCATACAACAAATGACTTGGAGCCACTGTCCTGCCAGATGAGAAACAGCTGATCCTTCCAATGTTAGCAAGATGATTAAAGTATCTGGTAAACCCCTCCATAGCTAGAATGAACAAAAGAGGTGACAAGGGATCACCCTGCTTAACACCACACTACATGGGGAAAAAACCCTTGGGCTGACCATTCACAAGGATTGAAAAAAAGGTGGATCTCAGATTTCCCATTAGAAGCTGCACAATCCTTGGGGAAATCCAAATTTTATCAAAATCCGCTCCAAATAACTCCAAGATATGTTGTCAAAAGCCTTAGACAGATCAAGCTTGATGATACAATTTCCACCTCTAATATTTGCAGATAGCAAATGCACCATCTCTTTAACCATCAGAACATGTTCATTAATACTTTTTCCTTGCTGAAAAGCAGCCTGCTCTGTGGAGATAAGAGTGGGAAGGACTCTCTTCAGTCTATCACTGAGTATCCTGGAAAGGATCTTGCTGAAAAAAGTAGAAAGAGAAATGGGCCTAAAGTGATCGAGAGTTATAGCACCCTCAATTTTTGGAATAAGGGTGATCAAAGTACTCCCAAAAACCCTGGGCAAAGGGATACCCAAAAAGAACTCCTGCACAACTTTAGATACATCCACCTTAATAATGTCCCAAACCTGTCTAAAGAAGAAGCCATTAAACCCATCAGCACCAGCAGCACTATTTGCATTCAAAGCCCAAATAGTCTTTCTAACCTCCTCCTCATCTGGCAGCCTCCCAAGCATATCATTATCTTGCTCAGAGAGCAAGGAGGGAATATGACTAAGTACCTCACCCATGTCACCCTCATGGACAGTAGAAAAAACCCTAGTAAAATGCGCAACAGCATCCTTAGCTACTTCTTCTTGAGAGGAAAGCATACAACCAACTGTATTCTTTAGAGAAGAAATGAAAAGCCTATTTCTCCTTCCCTTGACCAAAGAATGAAAGAATGCAGTTGAGGCATCCCCTTGAGAAATCCACCTAACATTTGCTTTCTGGGACGAGAACATTTCCTCCTTTTTGTGAGCCTGTTGCAACAAAGCCCTAGCCAAATTACATGCCACCACATTTTCTTCACAATCATCCATTTCTAGAGTATCTTCCGCCCTCAACAGCCTTTCCTCTGCCTTATAAACTGCATCAAAAATATTCCCAAATACCTCTTTGTTCCACTGAAGAAGTGCCCTCTTCAGAGCAGCCAATTTGAAAGCCAGACCCCTCATACCCCCTCCTTGATAACTCTTTCCCTAGGAGCTAGCAACAAGGTCCTTAAAGGAAGTATGTGAGCACCATACATTCAAAAATCTGAAAGGTTTAGGGCCCACCACATGGTGGGAAAGTGATTTGAAAAGAAGGGGCCTATGATTTGAAAGTCCTTGTCCAAGATGTCTGATCTCAATTACTGGAAAAGAATCCAGGCATGATTCATTCACAAAGAATCTATCGTGCGGCTCAGATTGCATCCTGCACTCAGATTTTGAGATAGTGCATTTTTAAAGGATTTTGGTGCATTTCGACATGATGCATTTTCAAACCATTTTGGTGCACCTAATTTTGATGCAATCCTGTCCCTTAGATCTCACAATCTAAAGCACCAAATTTATTCTTATTTCTTTCATAAGATTGCATTCTCATTTGAATATATATATATATATATACACACATATACATACATATATACATACATACATACATACATACATACATACATACATACATACATACATACATACATACATACATACATACATACATATATATATATATATATATATCATTCTTCCACCGTTCGTCGAGATTAGATGCCGACTCAATCAAAATGGTAGAAGACACAAGATCAATAGTGGAATTTTTAATCCTATTTCATCGTCTTCAATTGCTCCTACGTGTAACTCAAGTTTTATTTCTTTTCTTTTGTTTGGTATGGCACAAGAATCTCAATTTTGTCATAACGCATATATATTTTTGGGTATGTTGAAAGAATCTTCATTTTTTTCATCTACTGCAATTTTTTGTTATGCTGCAAAAAGGTTATTTTTTGGGTATATTGCAATTCTCTTTTGGTATGTTGCAAATAGAACTGCAAACTTTTATGATTTCGTTCTTTGTTTTGAATAATGATCGGATCACATGATCTCTAAATAGCAAAAATTTTAATTTTTAAATACGACTCTTAACCCGTTGGGTCAACCCGAACCCGATAACTCTGGGTCATGAACAAGCACTCTTAGACCCGGACCCGAAAAGACCCGAACCCGAAATAACCCGAACTCGATTATACCGAACATGAACCCGACCTGACCGACCGTTTTGCCAGGTCTAGCCACTGGTGATGCCACAAGTCGTAATGCCGTCTCTTTTTGCTACTGCTATTGTCTCCATCACCGTCACAACCGCGTTTTGCCGGTTCCAATGTCAGGACCAAGAAATGTGCCTTTGCCACTACCACAATGCCATGGTGCCACTACCAAGGAAAAAGCTTTACATACAATGCCAACTGAAATCACAATGTCAAAGATGACAATGCAAAGTAGAAAATATGTCAATTTATAATGCCAAATATGTAAATATATAGTGTTAAAAAAGATTAAATGTTAAGATTGCCACCAATCAATGTCAAGATTCATTTCACATTACCAAAATTTACAGAAATTTGAAGCAAAAATCAAGCATCTTATATAACGAGAGAGAAAAATTGAACATAAAAATTGAAAACAAACACCAAGCCTCATATCAATGAAGATGTAATTATTTGTAGGTAGAGACAATTGATTTATGGGTTAAGGAGCAAAATAAGAGTAAAACAATGATTAAAATCCAAAATATGAGTGAAAACATAAAATCCCCAAAATAGGAGTTGTTGACACTATCACTCCGTTCACCAATTTCAGACACTAACAACAAAAAAACCTGGAGCTGTGGGTTGTTACAACAATTGATATTTGAACATAAAAAATTATTAAAAACAACATGATAGACAGTTGAATATCATATTCCAAGTCCACAAAAATCTCACTTCAACTTCAAGGACCAAATCACGCTCTAAACTAATTAGTTGCGGGTTGTCCACCTAGAGCCGCCGCCACATAAAAATTGAGTAGTCATCTCAAGTCGCCGACACCATCGTCACACTTTGCACTGTCGGCATCGATCGCAATGCCACATTAATTGTCTATACAATGACAAAAAAGGCACAATGTCAAGCATGACAACACATAATGTCACATATAACAACACATAATGTCACATATCATAGTGCATAATACCAAAGATGCCCATATATAATGTCACATATGCAAATTCACAATGTTAGATAAAGGGGTGATGTCAAACCCAAACATTGCCCAGCACTACTGCTGGCGATATCACTCATATCACAATCACCTTTGTGGAATCCAGATGACCAATTGTTCCGAGACCTAGCCGTCGACTTCAAGCTTTGGATAGTGAAATTTGTCTCTAGTGGAGACATCAAGCTCAAGGCCAAGGGTTTCGACCATCTACACCATGGATTCTGCCAAGAACTTGGTATTAAAGATTCCGATCTCGACTGCCGACGGGGGAGTCCATTTTGCTAGCTAGATATGCGTCTTCCGACGGGGGAGCATAGGAAACGGGACCACTTGATGAATTAGATTCGGATCTCAACTTGTGCTTCTAGGGAGTGGGAGTTCCGATCTCGGCACTGGCCGGCGCCGGATCTGAGGCTTTGATCCCACCGGGGAGTCTATGCGAGCGACGGGGGAGCTTGCTGAGAGGAGTCGCGGTAGAACGGGAATTGGCGGAAGAGATGACGGGAACCGACCTATTTTTCTTCCTTTCTGGATTAAGTACTAGGTGTGGGAATATGTAGATTTTTTTTCCTATTTAATTACTCTTTTTTAAAGGAGTTTAAGTTTGAGCTCCTACTTCGAGGATATAAAATATGTTTTACTTCTATTAGAGCATGCGCAGCGGCGAGGCATTTCTTCGCTCGCTGCGCCACATCAGCTCCCTCGCCACTTTTGCCTCGCGTGGCTCAGCCTCCCTCCACGCCAAGCGTGTGAGGCGCGAGGCATCCTCAATTTTTTTATTTATTTTTTTATTTTTTGAAAAATAAATTTTTTAAAAAAAGAGTACATCTATATAAAAAAGATAAATGAAATAATTTTTAATAATTAAAATGCTTTAAAAAATCATAAAAATTGACAAAAAACAATGACTTGCCACTGTACGAGATGCCTCTCCACTCACTTACCACACGCTGATTGGATTATCTTTTATTAGTTGAAATGTGTCACGTCAACGTGTGACATTCCATTTCGTTACTTGTCATTGCCCGTCATCCTAAGAGAGTTTTCTTCTGCTCTAATAAAAATAATACGGAGTACTCCGTAAAAGGATAAGAGGCGCAGAGCCAAAGATAAATGATTGATGGCTGCTCTCGTCCCCAAACCCTTCACTCTGCTCCGTGATACCTTCAACACCACCGCATCGTTGAAGTCCGACGGCTGCCCCGAACACAATTTCTTCAAGCGCCGTTGCTTGGAGGCTCAGTCATTCATAGTGAAGAGGGCTTCGTTTCCCAGAATAGTCTGCAAAGCCGTGTCCGTTAAGCAGCCCTTACGGCCAGCTACTGAAGTTGAAGGCCTCAATATCGCCGAGGATGTTACTCAGGTCAGTGCATCACTGACTCTCTGAAAGTAGAATTTCTTCTTTTTTAAATTTACAATAAAATGGTGACTGTTATTGGTCTATATTATTTCTTCGTTGAAGCTCAAACATTAGAAAACTATAATATATCATCTTTCTGAATTTAATTTGAAATGTTTTTCTGCACAACTCATCCTTGTACTTTTTCTTTCCCTGGTTTCTACTCGACCATTATGTACGTTGCTCTTGCTTTGCTCACATCATCACATGTAGCTAAAGTTCGAGCCTTTATGAGCCTGCGTTTGACAAGTCTAAGATATTTTGACGTGTTTACTATTGTTTTCCCACTAAGCAAAGTACGGTTGTATTTAATGCTGAGATAGCATCTTTCTTTAAACGAGTTGTTTCTGTAAATAATATTTCTTGGATGTCGTTCGTTCCCAAGGCCTTACTTTTGTTGCCATTACCTGGTGTCTAACAAATAGATTCTTCAAATCATTCTTTCCATTAAATTGCTTTTATTTCCTATCAGGTTTTCTCATATTTTGATTGTGCTATATATATATATATATATATATATAAACATGTATATGTGTGTGTGTATACATACATACATACATAAATACATACATACATACATACATACATGCATACATACATACATATATGTAGGTGAGAGGGAGGGGCGTAGGTTGGTTGAGCTGGTGCATTTTGGCTCGTGAAACATAGGGTCTAGTAAGTTGATTGAGCTGGTGCAAGTTCTCAATAGGAGAATGATTTAGGTGGCGTATGTGCAAGAGACTAGATGGGTGGGCACCAAGTTGCGAGAGGTCGACGTGTTCAGGTATCCTGGCCATTCTAAGAGTATGAATGGGATTGGTGTTTTGGTGGTGCCAAAGCTGCGGTAATATGTGCTAGAGGTGAAGAGGATTAGTGACTAGTTGATGGCTATCAAGTTAATCTTTAGTGATTGTGCTATAAATGTCGTGAGTGCCTATGTCCCTCATGCTGGCTTGGAAAACAAAGTTAAGAGGGAGTTTTTGGAGTCGTTGGATGGGTGGTAGGTGCTATCCCGCAGGTTGAGAAAGTTGTCATTGGAGGCAACTTCAATGTCCACATTGGTGACTCTGCCCAGGGCTTTGAGGAGGCACATAGAGGGTTTGGATTTGGCTATAGGGTTGAGATGGAGGTTCACTCTTAGAGCTTGCTAGAGCGTGTGATTTGGTGGCTGCTACTCCTTGTTCCCTAAATAGGAAGATCACTTGGTTACTTTTGGTAGTAGAATGGGGAGGATGCAGATCAACTGTGTAGTTCAAGAGAAATATGTTTGTGAGTCTTTCGGGGAGGCCACTAACATGTGGGCTCTGACGGCTAACTACATCACGGAAGTTGCTAGAGAGGTGCTGGGTTTGAGTTGCAGTTCTGGAAGTTGGCATAAAGGTGACTGGTGGTGGAGTGATGTGGTTCAAAGAAAGGTGAAAGCTAAGAAGGTGGCATTTATGAGGTACATGAACTGCAGTAATGAGGAGGATAAGGCGGCTCTTCTAGTGGATAATAAGATTGTCCGTAAGGAATTTAAGTTAGATGTTACGAGGGCAAAGAATATAACTTTTGAACGCATTTATAAGGACATAGAGGAGTAGGATGGTGATTAGAGGTTTTTCCAGCTAGCTATTAGCTAAAGCACGTGAGAGGAAGGCTCGGGATCAGGATCATTTGAGATGCACGAAGAGCAATGATGGTAGTGTGTTGTTTGAGACAGCAGAGGTGGCCAACCTTGGGGGGGGGGGGGGTACATCCGTGGCCTCTTGAGTGCAGGAGGAGATTCGAGGCTAGAGCTAGGTGAGCTGAGGCATCAATACTCTGGGTTTTGTTGGTGCATTAGTCAAGAGGAGGTGGCACATGCCATCGGTCTGATGAGAGGTGAGATAGCCTTGGAGCGGCTTGGGTAAAGTGTAGGTTGGCTTCAGGGGTTTTATACGATAAGAGGGTTTTGTCTAGAATGAAAGGTAATTTCTATCGGGCTTTAGTTAGTACATCTATGTTGTATGGTGGAGAGTACTGGGCAATTAAGAAAATCCACATCTGTCAACAACATGTTGTAGAGATGCGGATGATGCGGTGGATGAGGGGAAACGAGGTTATCGGAGGACAAGTAGCAGTGGCATCGGTGGAGGATAAGTTGCGGGAAGCTAGGTTGAGGTAGTTCGACAAAGTGCTATGGCCCTAATGCGGAGATGTGAGAGGCTTATGTTGATGGGTGGGGAGGAGTGTTCCTCACGTCTATGCAAATCAAGTAGTCTTCCTCAGGTCAATGCAATTCCGGCCACCATTCTCATTTCTCGTAGTAAGGAGTATTCTCACTTGAGAACTTGTCTTTATAAAGAACAATAATACACCTCAAATGTTGATCATACATGATAAACAACATTGTGTGATGGAGCATGTAACCTACGGTGCACTGCACGAGTACCTAATGTAAAATCTCTCACACACTTGAAACCTTAGATGTTATCCAAATTACGCGTGAAGCGATTGAAGTACACGCTCTCCAAAAAATAGTTTGATATGGACAATTGATATGTCTTGCACACTATTTTGCATAACATAATCATATATTTTGCACATTCTAAACTTTCCTTGTACATTCCATCTCCACTTTTGGAGCAAAATTTTTTGCATGAGTACATAGAAACGTTTGCACATTGTGTGCAAAACATTTGCTTGATTATTACATAAATGCATAAAAAATGGAGATAAAAATAAGGGAAATGAGTGGCTGAGGTTTGTTCTCATTTTTTTAGGAAAACTAATTTTTATTTGAACCAAAATCATATATACACACACATGCATACATATTTTGAGTGATTATTTATACTGTTGCGGAGCATGATTTGCTTTCTTAACATCTGGACAGCTGATAGGGAACACCCCAATGGTGTACTTGAATAATATAGTAAAAGGTTGTGTTGCAAATATTGCTGCCAAACTTGAGATTATGGAGCCGTGTTGCAGTGTAAAAGACAGGTGAGTTTTTTTTGAACCAATCACAACTTTCTAAGGGAATCGAGTTTAATCAACAGCATGCATGAGATGCAAGCTCCCGTAGATTTTTTCACTCTTCTGCTGCTATCGTCTGTTTAATCCATGTACATGTCGTAATTATTATTGAGGAAATAAATGAATTGTTACTTAATAAACATATCTAAGTGCCACTCCGACATGTGGGTGCTAGTGTTTTACTTCATTAAGCCACAATGATTGATTGTGAAAATGATTGAAGAGTAACAGATTACTCCGTCTAAAAAAATAGTCTTGTTTTAAAAGCTTGTATACATAAAAAGTATCATATTTCATTAAGTGAAATGAGTTTTTCATGTGATTATGTGACTTTAAAACATCGTGTCTTGCCAAAATCAAACATTCTACCTTGACAAATAAGATTCATTTTTTTGAGACGAAGCAAGTACTACTTTTACTGATATAACTTTTACCTTATAAAAATATATGGAGTACTTTCTAGTGACATATGTGCTGCTTATTTAGGATTGAGCAAGACCCTAGAATTTCTATACCCTATACTTTCGATTGCAACAACATACTAGATAGAATCCCATGAGTGCGTTCTGGGGAGGTTGAATGTAGACAGACCTTACCCCTACCTAGAAAAGATAGAGATATTTCCAAAAGGCCACACTAGACTTTGTATTATATAACTATATCATTAACACACACACTCAAGGTGGTGCATCAGATACTACAAGCTTATTATGAAACATTAACCTGTGGTTGTGGTTGCTGGGAGGTGAAGCACAATGTAGTGGTCTCTGTTTGTGGTTGTGGTTGTCACTTAAGGGTCTGAACGATTAACATTTAACAATTCATGTGGGCAATCAGGCATTGTTCATAATAAAGGAGGAATAAGGCTACAGTTTAAGCAGCAGATATTTTGAAGTATTTAGAGCTTAGCTCTCATCCAATGTTAGGATTGTTAACTAACAGGAGTGCTTTTAGTGATATAGATTTTACCTTACAACTCCAATCTTTCTAAAGATTCTAAAGATTAATACATTGCTTACAGATGAAAATAATGAGGCCTTAAGTGTAATGTGCTCTACTTAGGGGTTTCTAAACCTTAGGGTTTCTACTACTTTACTATCATTTTTAGTGTATTTTAACATCAAATATTCTTTGTAAATGATATGAACATAGTTTCTAGTGTAGTAATGTTATTACTTGGTAACATTTTTGTTTACCAAAGTTAGAGATCTTGGAAAATCTAGATTTTTTCTTGTGATGCACATAATATCTTTTGGTTTCAGGATAGGATTCAGTATGATAACCGATGCTGAGGAAAAGGGACTTATAGTGCCAAGAAAGGTAATGTATGTGACATGTTTATTTGTTGTGCTATGCGTTACAAGCCTATGGGTGATAACAGAAAAGGATGAAGGAGTTTTTCTCCTGCCCTGGCTGATAGATTCACTTACAGTATGTTTGGTTCAAGGAATTTGAATGAGAAGAAAAGAAAATGAAGTGGAAAACAGTTTTTCTTGTTTGGTTAGAGAGGAAAAGTGGAAGGAAAAGAAAATGAGAAGACAAAATGTACTAAGGGTCTGTTTGGAAAGGCAGAAAATGAATTTCGGAAGTCATTTTCCGCAATTTCCTGTGTTTGGAAGCAAAGTCTCCAGAAAATCAAATGCGTTCAAAGGGAAATTCAGGCCCAAAAAGCGGAGAATGACTTCCACTTTTTTTTCTCAGAAGTCATTTTCCGGAAGAAGATGTTCGCCCTATCTCCGCTGCCCATCATGCCAATATCTTCCTCTGTTCCATTGTCGTCGCATCAAACCCTCCTCTCACCATTACCCCATCACACCAGTGCCTCCTCTGCCAATTTGTCATCACACCATCTTCATCATTGCACCAGATCTGCAACTTTTAGGAGATGATGTGGAAGTTTGTTGCTTCAATTGGGGAGCCTAAAGTCTCTGGTTTCTTCCCAAGCCTTGATAGGTTTGATTTGTAGGGGAAGCCGAGGAAGATGAGGGATTGTTTTTGAGAAATTTTGGTTTGATTTCTGATTTCTTCCCCTTTTCCGTTCAGTGTATCCAAACTACACAAAAAAGGAAAATGACTTCCAGAAAATATCTCATTTTCCAGAAATTATTTTCCTCATTTCTCCCCTTTTCAAACAGACCCTAAGTGGAGAGAAATCGAGATTCCTCCCATTTTGATGAGAAAAATGAGAGAAAATCTTTTTTTTCTTTTCGTTCCAAATTCCTTGAACCACACATAGTTTTAGCTGAGAGGAAGACTAAGAAGCTGATCCAAGAAAACTTGCATAAATGTTTTTCTATTTCATTCCAACTCGTCTTGCTAATGCAATATGTTTTCCTTTATAATGGATTAAAATCATAATGTACTCCTTAATAAGGAACACAGACAATTTGCCGAACATAAAGAATTATTAAATAATACTGTAATAATTACAACATATTCAAAACTACTTAAGTCAATGAATTTGTGGAAGTATATGCACATTAGGGCCTGTTTGGTGAGCCCAAGAGATATTAGTTTTGATATCTCTCGGATTCTCTCCATATCCAAACCCCATATTCACACCTTTTTGTAGGTATTTGATGAAGTTTAAGCAGGATTTGGATTGGTATTCTCAAATATCACAACTCTCCCAAATGGGAGCGTTTTGATATCTCCTGAATTTGGGAGATATCAATTTGGAGTGTTTTGATTTCTCCCCCACAGTTTACTCCACCACAACTGCTGTCATCTAACAACCCCCTTTGCTACTGACCACCCACCACCATCGTCAGCCCCTACCACTGCCGTTGTAAGCCACTTCCACTGCTAGACACGCAACAGTACAACACCTCCACCTCAGTCGGTCAACAACCACACACCATCGTTGCTACCGTCACCAACACCGTCACCAGAAACCATCACCACAGGAGGCTGGTCACCACCCACCACCAACCACTACCCATGGCCGTTGCTTCCGGCCACCACCAATGGCATCACTGACAGCCCACCCAACAACCACCATTAAGAACTTTAGTAAGTTTTAAGTGTTTTTTACCCATTTTTAATCAACACAATCTATTTACACGAAATTAGTGTTATACACTCATTTTTTTGGGTGAAGCGTTGATTCCGTTGAATACTCATTTGATTTTAGAACAATTCACCAAACAGCAATTATTAAGACTCCAAACCATTTCAGATCTAATGTACAACAACAAGAACAATAACATTAACTATGGTAGTCTTTGTAATTTAGTCAGCTTTGTATTATTTGGTAGGTTCTTAAGCCTGTTAAGACTGGAGACTATATACATATATTCCATTACACTCATTATTTTCTTGAGTAATACAATTATTATACTCTTCGTTCAATCGACACACGCCATGAGACATGTCGGGCACTGACAATGAAGTGAATGAACTTCTGCTCTTCATGGCTACACACCCATAACCTCTCCAAAATATTCATTCTCTTATTCTCGATAGATTAAATGATAAAATCACCCATTTTAGAGTGCTTGTGTTTAGGCAAATCTCAAAGCTTATATCTCGAGAAATGTGGACATATGTTAATATTTCTGCTCCTTGCTCGCCCCTCACCATCGCTGACAAAATATCGACCACGGTGCTACAAAACCAAGTCGTCCGTATGATCTGTTGTACCTTTTTGATACACAAATCCAAATAGTTATCTTCTTTCCGTTGACGATTCAATACCATGTTTTCTCTCTAATAATCGCAACTAAACTTTGTGACCATATACAGGTTCGGTACAATTCTCTGTCCCAAATGCACATGTCTCAGATCAAGGATCGTCTCCATCCTTTTCAAAAAGGAGCCATGATAATGCAATAATATTTTGACGAGGTTGCTGATGGAATTTAATCCACCGCGGCATGTAAAATTCATACCAAATAATATAGAACCATATGAAGCACACACGATGTTTTCGTGGAAACCTTAATCGGGAAAAAATTTTAGGCGGTACCATGCCAAAGGGGGTGTACTATTGTTGATGAGACTATGTGTATTGTATATTGTATATTGTTGTGATAGCCAGATTTAGCTCAAAGCTCTGTAGATAAGATGACGGATAGTGTAATGGTGATGTATGTAGATCGCAGATGGCGTCCCCTTCTTCTTGGATGTCATGCCTCTTTTATAGTGGAATAGGAGTCTACAGTTAGGGTTTCCCTATTGGGCTTCTCCCGTGGATTGGGGTTATTATCCCATGAGTTACCAATTTTATGACCGATTTAGTGCTCGCCAATGAAGTCATCCCTGAGAATGAATATTATCTTCAACGTTGTTCGTGGCCTGCCATCCTAATGCTCCGCGCTCAAACTAAATATATAACTTTTAATGTTTTATGTAGTATGTACTCTTGAAATTTATGTACTTTTAATATTTTATGTTAAAAGTGTTAGAATATAAGAAACATTTCCTGGGCCACAACCACAAGCTTGAGCTTATGGTTGAGTTGGTTCCTTGACATGGTTTCGGAGCCTTGTCGACTACTCCCTCCGTCCCAGAGTATTTGTCCATTTTCATTTTTACACACCATCCAATGCACTTCTTTAATCCATTTTATCTTGTAATTTGTATATTAAAAAATTATAGAAATTATATATTAATAATATATATGTTAAGACAAATCAAACAAGATCAAACATGACTATATTTAGGCTTACACATTGAGAGAATTTGATGTGTCAAAGTGCTTAGATGAACAGTTCCAAAAGTCAAAAGTGGACAAAAACTGGGGGACGGAGGGAGTAAGAGGTCACGGGTTCAAAACTCAGCGCCACCCAGTTTAAAAAACATTAAGGTTTCACGTGCAAGGCTCGAAAAAGACTATGCCTGCACGTGAGGGGGCATGTTAGAATATAAGAAACATTTCCTGGGCCACAACCACAAGCTTGAGCTTATGGTTGAGTTGGTTCCTTGACAAAAAATTTTGTCATTAAAAAGTTTTATCATTTTTGTCTTTGAAGTTTTTTTCACTTTTAATGACAAAACTTTTAATGGTATTTTTAGTTTTATTTTTAAATGTAAATTTATTTAGAAACAGATTCATATTTTCAATAGAGGTTAAAGAAAGAAGCATTAAAAACAAGTTGGGATGCAGCTTGGAGTTTACGTGGTAACCTACTATATTTCCGTGAAAAGTTTATTCAAGTTTAGGAATATTAACGATAATAATTTTGAAGTTTAGGGAACAAAGTGAAAACACTTAAACATTTAGGTACCGCCTAATGCTTCACATATCAATACACTACAATCCTAGAAATCCAATTTGTTCTCAATCCTTTGATTGTTATTTTCGTCGAAGTCAATTTCATTACAGTGGGTAACAAAAGGGACACAAACCTGCTCCAGATGCTGCCATTACAAACATCAGAACTTTTCGAAAAAATAATTCACAGAATTGAAGCAATCAACAATGAAAATCATGGCGAGCTTCAGCCAGATTGATTATAATATTTAAATTTGATTTCTGGCGAAAAGATAAATCAAGTTCCATGTTAGTNGACGAGAGGGTGAGAGAGTGAGCGATTAAGCAAGAGTACTCATTAATTGATATTCCATCCGTCCCAAGTTTATCATCTGTTTATGTTTACTCTTTATGTATCCGATAACTTTGGTTTGCGTATGCATTTTCATTGATCATTTGATAAAATAAAATGATCATTTCACCACTTTTTTTGCATAACTTTTGGTGTACTTTTTAGATATGTAAGTTATACTTTTTTATTTTCATACCAATTTGTAAATAAAATCATTTCGAAAAAATGGGGTTTTGCACATTGTTCGAAAAGGGACTGAATTTGAGACGGAGGGAGTATGATTTATGCCATAGATATAAGTACACGAGAGTTAGGTGGTAACTAGAAGTAAATGCAAAAAAACTCAAATTCCTCACATGATTCAACACAATTATTTACAAATTCTAAAATTGTTGTCTCTCTACCTATTTAGACTGTCTTGGTTGAAGCTACAAGTGGTAATACTGGCATTGGACTAGCCTTTATCGCTGCTTCAAAAGGATACAAGCTCATCTTAACAATGCCTGCATCCATAACTCTTGAAAGAAGGGTTCTTTTGAAAGCTTTTGGTGCTGATCTTGTTTTGACGGATCCATCCAAGGGAATGCAAGGTGCTCTTCAGAAAGCTGAAGAAATATTGAAGAACACACCTGGTTCCTATATGCTTCAACAGTTCGAAAATCCTGCTATTCTCAAGGTATCTCTTCCATCTCATGGGTAGTGTTTCAAAATGCCTGTTGCGTAGTTGAGGCGATTTGACCAGATGAGGCTTAGACCTTCATACAATAGTATTGCTTAAGCCGTAACTAAGCTTCATTACTATGTCAGTGAGGCCTTAGACCTCTATAAGATATTGCACAAGCCTTGGTATTATACCAATACATTGAGCCTCATTGCTATTTTTTACCACCATGCCACTAATAGTGTCAGATTTCTTGGGGGTACTGCGAACTGTTGATTTGGAATTTAAAAAAAAATAAAATAAATTAATTAGCAAATAGAAGGAAAATCCTGTGTAGTTTCAGGCATAGTTATCACGGTGTCGTCTAGGCGTCAACTTGGCATCCAGGTGCCCTGCTGCTTTCGCCATGGTTGATCGACTCGCCTAATATTCCCTTCCTCGCCTAGGCATTGGTTTTCGGACGACTTCGCGTCGTGATGCAGTGCCGCGGACTACTAGACGCCTTGTATTTAGAAATTCCGTGTTATTTTTTTAGATCAGTTGCAAGTCGGGATTAAATTAAAAACCCCACCTCTGTCCATCGCTTCTCTCCTCTGATCTTCGATTGCAAATCTCAGTGTGTTATTTCTTTTTCAAATACTATATAATTAGTATCTTATTCTTTTAATGAGGCACTTATTTTTAGTGCAATATCACTCCAATCAGTGCCTTAATCTTTTTGAGTGCCAATGCCTTATTTTTAAAATGCTTTATAATTTACTTTTTTTCCAATCTTTTGCTTTTTTTTCCAATTCATCTCCGTAATCTTCTTTCTTTTCCTTAGTCAATATTTTTTCCCATATTTCATTTGAAGTATCTTTCTTCGGTGCTTATTTTTTTGTTTTTAAAAATGCTTTATGATTTTTATTTCCAATCCAAAACGGTAATGCTTTTTTTCTTCAATTTTTTTATGTAATCGTACTTATCAATTCTTTGTTGTTATATAGTATGGAGTATTTTCTTTCATATGGATGTCAAGCTTTGCTGAAATCAAAATTTGAACTTTATCAACTACATATAAATATATAATATGATATATTATATTAGTATTACAAATGTATGGAAATTCTCATGTACTACTTGTTGCCCGAATGTCGCCTAGGCGCCTAGGTGTCATGGCGGCACACTAGCGCCGTGCATCATCTTGGCAATGTGATAACTATGGTTTCAGGACCAAACCAGCAGGAATATTGATATTTTAATCAGGCCAACACATTCTGCTGACAACCCGCGCCAGTATGGTTATGGACCAGTGCCAGTTAGCCCCTGTTTGCAAACCTTTGTTTTATTTGGATGAAGTTACTTTTGAACTGTTTGAGTTGGGCCTTGTACCCTCGTATCATTCTCGAAGGCCTATTTTTGTGTCTCAAACCCCAACAGTCATCCAGAACATTGCAAAGTATTACTTCATCTATTTAAAAACCTTTTATCCCAATAATAACATGAGCTCCCTTTTTCTATTCATATCAGACTATCCGTAAAAATTTATTTCTTTGATTTTTGTGTATCTATGTAGATACACTATGAAACAACTGGTCCAGAGATTTGGGAAGATACAAAAGGGAAGGTTGACATACTTGTTGCAGGGATTGGTACTGGCGGAACCATTTCTGGTGCAGGGAGATTTCTCAAAGAGCAAAATCCCAGCATTGAGGTGATATATATGTGTGTGTGTGTGTGTGTGTGTGTGTATTCTGTCCATGTGTATGTGTGTGTGTGTGTATTCTGTCCACCTTTTGAATTTCTGTACCTATGCGATTTACTTGTTCTTTTTCATGTGGATCTTATCAGGTCATTGGCGTCGAGCCTAGGGAAAGCAATGTATTATCCGGTGGAAAGCCTGGTGAGGTGACAAAATATGTATGTATACACATTTTTATATTTTCTTTACTTTCTTCTAGATGATGCAATTCAAAATTGCAGGCCCTCACAAAATTCTAGGAATTGGAGCAGGTTTTATTCCAAGAAATTTAGATCAAGATGTTGTGGATGAAATCATAGAGGTATATGTTCTCAATAAGTCACTGAATAGTCCATTCATATACAAACGTTTTATCATAACATCACATGATACTATCGCATGTACCTTTATTCATAATGTCATATACAAAAGTTTATATCATATCTTATTTCTTTACCTTGTAGGTCTGCTCCACGAAATATTTATTTTCAATACGATTGTATGTGCTCTCCCTCTGCATCATTTAGTGTTGTATGCTTGAGTAAGGTTGCGTTCCGTTCGCCTCATCTGATCAAATCTGATCAGATTTGATTGCATTTATAATTAAAGTTGTTTTTGATTTGATCTGGTCTGATTTTAATAAGAATAAGTAATAAGCAGAAAAAATAAGTTGAACGGAATGCTGCCTAAGAGTGAGAGAGAGGGATGGGGAGGAAGAGAGAGATATATAGATAGAGAGAGAGAGACTTTCAAAATGTGGTTTAAGCCTTGAGGCTTTTTGTTTATATGAGCCAAGGCATTTAAAAATGCAGTTTTCAGCCTTGAACCTTTTGGTTTATATGAGCTAAGGCGTGAGCCCTGAGGCAGTACGAGACTTAAACATCATGACATTTTTTCTGCCAAACTTCTTCAAAATAATTAACGCTAAAGCTAGATCTATCTAACACCAGAATTGTAAAAACAAACAAGTCATAAACTTAGATGCTCCAATCTTGAAGCCACTTAAGTAGATTTAAACCATGGACCAAATATTCAAATTGAGTCATGTACTCATGGTATTTTGATTCATCATAGTTCAACTCCGTAGTGTTGTCAATTTAGATATATGCCAGGATGTTCAACTACTGAGGCAATTCATTTTCCTAGGCCAGGAGCAATTTAGGGCATAGGCATAGAAAAAAGATCTGCACTTGGTATTGATTGATTTGCAGAAAGTGTATGATAGAGTACCTGGACTCCTCGAGACATTCTGGTGGGTGTTGACGAAGGAGGTTTCCAAAGAGTATATAAATTATGAATCTCGTAAGGGATATGGTATGTATAATGGAGAGGAATGGACTTTGCTATTACTATCAAAGTGCATCAATGATCAACATTAAGCCCTTTCTTTTTGTGGTGGTTATCAATGAGCTAACTAAGACTACAAGATGTTGTACTTTGGTGAGTGTTGTTTGCCGATAAAAGTGTCTTGATAAATGAGACTGGAGGTGTTAATGATAATTTAGAAATGTGGACAAAGGTACTAAAATGTGAGGGGTTTAGATGCAACAGATGTCAGACGAAATATATGGAATGTGTGTTTAGTAACGAGAGAAATGTGGATCAGAATTTTGTGACTATAGAGTATTGTGATATCTCAGTTAGTGATCATTTTTGATACATGGGTTCTATTATACAAAAAGAGTGTTAAACATCAAGTAAAGGCGGGGTGGGAATGTGGGATAAGTGGAGGAAAATTGAGTTCTTTGTGGCCATGATGTATTGTTGAAGCTAAAGGGAAAAATATGCAAAACCACTATTTGATCATCACCGTTATATGGTACAAAATGTTGGACTACTAAGGGTGTAATATTATGAAAATAAAGGTAACTAGAATGTGTGGAAGTGGCATCTATAGATGAAATGGTTTAATAAAAGTAATTGATACATGTAGAAGTGGCATCTATTATTTGGATGGATGTAATAAGAAATGATGTCATTGAACATTGTTAGAAATGGCATCTACAACAAACCTGTTGAATCCCACAATAGTAGGGTCTTGGGTGGGTGTGTGTACGCAAACCTTACCCCTACTCGAAAATGGAGAGGTTTTTTCCAAAGAGACCCCCTGATCAAGCACCACAGGTAATCACACACACAACTTGACCCTTATGTATGAACATAGAGCGGCTGTTTCCAGATGACCCATGATGGCATCAATAGAAGATTAATATCATTGTCATAACAACATTATATCGAAAAGCACATAAACAAACATAACAAAGAGTGCGTAAGACCCAAGTATCACTCAATCTTCAAGACTAAGAACCCAACAAGGATAACAAGCACAAAAATAACATACTAAATTTTTTTTTCATATTACGAGATATTAAATATTTATAATCCAATGTTATGCCACCGTGACGACTTTTTTCTATTGTGGTCTCCTATGCTATTGCACCAGAATCTTGTGGAAGAGAAAAAGGGTAAACGACTTGCTGTCGAGTTGCGATGTGCTGCAGCAATGCGCCGAAGGTTTTTAAGGAGCTTTAATAATTTCTAAAATTAATTGAAATTTGGGTCGGGTTGGGTTGGGCAAAATTGGGTAGGGCTACAAACACTCACTAGTGGGTCGCCGAGGCATCGATTTGCACAACCGGACAATTAGTCTCATTCAGGCACTAGGTGACAGTGAAGTCGCTCTTTCCAAAATGCCCGGATGACTATTCGGGGACTAGGCAACGACTTAACAGCAATGCTTGGGATAAGGCTTACTTGTTTCATACTTCAACCTCATACACCTGCAGGTTTATTTTCTTTGTTGAGCAGTGAATTTCATTAAATAAACCTGTGAGACTGCACATTACAGGAAAGAAATTATCCCTCCATCCTTGAAAAATGTCCTGTTTTCCTTATTTTGATGTCCCAAAATAAATGTCTCCTTCTTAAACTCTGTACAATTTCACTTTTTCTTAAACTCCGTGAAAGTCAACTCACGAATTTAATAGGGACAAATGGAGTACTGTTCAAGGCTTTCTGCCTTCTATACATCTTATCTCCCCACAATATGCTTTTGAGTAGTGAAATAAGGATGGAAAATTGGATAGAGTTGGTAGAATATTTATGTTTGAGGCTTAATACTATTATGATAGCCATGGTTGAACATTAATTTGTCCTTGGTCTACCCTATTTTTCTTGCCCTAGCATGGAGGGGCCTAGTATCACACTGTTAGAAACATAGGATCCACAGGAGGAAGAATTTTAGATTGAGAGAACATTCAGATCCAGTACTCCAAAAAAAGCTGAATCCTCACCTGCAGAAAAGAGGAGAGTCGTGAAGCTTATGAGAGAACGAAAAGCCGCGTGTCGGCGTGTATTCTTTATGAAGTCTGGCATAAGGCTTGATTAAGCTATGAAGTTTGTGTGAAACTATAATCCAATGAGATTGCTGATTCGGACAACTGGCTTTAGAATATTTTATAAGCTTTCATTATAATAGATTTGATTATAATAATATCAATAACACTAACTAATTATCTTTAAAACAAACTTGTGAGGCTAAAGTCTAAAAACCAGCCATGATGGACCACACCTTATTCCTGTGTAACCGTCAAGACTAAGCTCATGTACCATAAGTCGAGATGAGCTGCATAAACCCTTATATGAAACCATATGTTATATCTGCTTCACTGTACTGAATTTTTTTCATTAAATATGTTCAAGATATCAAGTGATGAAGCTATACAGATTGCCAAGGAATTAGCACTTCAAGAAGGACTGCTGGTTAGTGCTTTCCTTATTTTTCAGAACACAAGGGAAATTTTCAATTGTTCATGATAATAGGGGAGAGACATATTGGCTTTTGCCATGGAGACCAACATGAAGTAACAATGTTAGCCGATGCTTTAGCTCTCAATGAGCGGCGGGTACTTAAGAATTTATTTTGACATCTTTGGGCTGTCTAATGATCAGGTGGGCATTTCTTCCGGAGCAGCTGCAGCAGCTGCAATGAAGGTTGCTAAGAGACCTAAGAATGCCGGAAAGCTTATTGCGGTAGGTCCAGTTTTAGTTATTAGTCTCTTACTCTTTATATTCTCCAGATACACAGTTTTCTGCAAACTGGATTGGATTCAACATTCAATTTTATAATCTTAAATGATTATTGTAGGTTGTTTTCCCTAGCTTTGGGGAACGGGACCTATCAACTTTACTTTTCCAGTCAATTAGGGAGGAATGCGAAAAAATGCAGCCAGAGATATGAACTAATTCTTCATGCAGTAATTTTCTGAACACAATTGTGGTTAGTGTTTATTTTATTCCTTTTATGTTATGGGATTGCCTGCGGCCTATTCATGCGAATATATTAGCCTTTAGCAAAATGGTCACTTTCGAATTTACATTTCAAAACCGTAAAAAGTAATTCCCATGCTTATTGTTGGAAAGACCCTACATTGTGGCAAATGGAACTGAATGAAGAAAAAAAGATATTTGGCTTTTCAATCGGGTAACTTAGTTCTTGAACTTATTCTCTTATGGTGTAAGAAATAAAACACTGAAATTTCCGCTATGGTCAACTGCTTCAACACATTACTTGCAAAAAGCTGTAAGAAGGCTCATAGGGGTTGTAGACGACCCTAATTTTCACAGAAAAACAAACACTCAGTACTAAGCTAATGTATTTAAGTTTCAAGCAAGTCCACTTTAATTATGTGTGTTGTTATAGCAAATAATGGTTGCATTGACTAATGCAATTTCTAATTTTCCAGTTCACATTTTCCTCTACAAATGTAAATACAATTTGATTGTCTGTTGCTAAAGCAAATACAATTTTGTTATGTGTGCTTTCAAAGCAAAGACATTTTGATTATGACATCTCACGTACTAGGGAGATGCCAAAATATGTATCAGAAGGCGGGGGGTGTACTGGAAGGGGCAAGGGACGTCTCATCGTAAGATGGCTAAGGATTGCCACACTTGACAAGAAACATTGGAAGATGCCGCATTAATGCAGCGGGATTGTTTGGATCCTTGCATTTTGAATAGCATAATGCTGTTTTTTAGTAGAAATTTTTATCAGAATTTTAGGAGTATATTTGAATGCTGAAATGTCATTTGGAGTAGCATTATGTGGTGCAAAATATTTATTGGAATACGCTGATTCATAGGATCAACATTTTGAAAAAACGACATTTTGGTTGCACTTTTGTTTTAGAGTAATGCTAGAGTCACAAGCAAGTTGGACACAAACTTGCTTTTCGTGCACTTTCCCTCGTGACCTTGATATAGTAATTGTATGTTTTACTCCATCTTCGATGACGGGAAAGTGATATCGCTTCCATGAATTGAACTTACCCCCGCTTAAAAAAAATTCATTATTTTCTTTTTGAGATGTCTCTAAAAAACTTCATTTTCCCTCTATTCTAATTTACAGTTTGTTCATTGCTTGCAAAGTAGACCTGTGTAAACAAGGATAAACTCGTCTGACATATCCTATCCACCATAAAAACTAGACTTATCTAGGCAACAATAATTTTTCAAATGGAAGAGTCGGCTAGGCCTTATTTTTATATTTGCAGATGTAAGAATTAAGGGAATTGATAAATACACTCCACAAATGTTAGTTGCACTCCACATGTTTCTTTTTTAGTTAGAAATTAACACAAAAATCCTTTAAAATCTTTCATATCTTTTTTATATCAAATAACCATCAAAATAAAAATTGTAGTAAGTTTTAATCCTTAAAAATCATTGATGGAGAAATATGTCATTATTAACTTAAAATGAACCCCTCAATTGACAAGTAACATACAAATTCAATAAAGTTTAGTTTTAAAATTAAATGATCTTAACATGTATATAACTTATTTTTAATCCTGACTTTTTTCTATTTAAATCTTAAATTTATTTTTTAAAAATAGTTTCAAAAAATGATGATATATTTTTCTGTTTTTTTGTTTTATTTTTCTTTAATTTTTTTGAACTATTCTAATTATTTTGAATCCAAACCTTTGATTGTACTCTAAGTAAATATGGAGCATGTAAGTGCATTCTATTGAAATTATTTATAGAAAATAAAATAGAAAAAATTCAAAGATATACATCTAAAATCCAAAAAACAAAAGAGATAAAAGTTATGAATGTGATGCTTTTCAATCACAAGATTTTTTTTGATCTTAGATCTATTTCTCTAATTTTTTTCTATTTTTTATACGGAGTACATGATTTAAAAAAAGCACAGTTTCATATGGACTATTTAACTAGTGTATTGTTAGCAGTATTATGTATATATGTTTATACTACTACTATATGCACCTTGTATATATACTTTGCCGTATCAATGAAATAACCAAGCAATTCAGTTCATAAAATTCTACATGGTATCAGAGCCTTTTCTAGGAAGTTACGTAAAACCCTAGAAGTCATCTGTCCACTGTCGCCGTTGCTCCTCGTCCCGTCGCCGTCCGTTTCTTTTCGCCACCGGTCAGGTCTGTCTCTCGTCGCCGGTAGTCTGTCTCGCCGTCGTCGCCCTTGTCTTCACTGGTCGTGCGTCATCTTCTCACCATGTCAGCCGAAGGTAACCCTAAGAAAACAAGATTAATTCTTGATCCGTCGTCCGTGTATTATCTACACCCTTCCGAAGGTCCCAGTAATTCCTTGACCAAATATCTTTTAAAAAGTGATAATTTTGATATTTGGGAAAAGGCGATACGTAATGCACTTGGTGGTCGTGGTAAATCTATATTCTTGTCCCCCGGTGGTATTCCCCAACCCACCGATGAGCATGAGTTATCTGCATGGTCTGCCAATAATCAAATAATTTGTAGTTGGATCTTCAACAGTGTTGATGAGTCGATTCAACCACAGTTTCATATGGACTATTTAACTAGTGTATTCTTAGCAGTATTATGTATATATGTTTATATTATATTATTGTATATTGGGCCTGTCATGTTGGGCCCGGAACTCTTGTATATATACTTTGACGTATCAATGAAATAACCAAGCAATTCAGTTCATAAAATTCTACATGGTATCAGAGCCTTTTCTGGGAAGTTACGTAAAACCCTAGAAGTCATCTGTCCACTGTCGCCGTTGCTCCTCGTCCCGTCGCCGTCCGTTTCTTTTCGCCACCGGTCAGGTCTGTCTCTCGTCGCCGGTAGTCTGTCTCGCCGTCGTCGCCCTTGTCTTCACTGGTCGTGCGTCATCTTCTCACCATGTCAGCCGAAGGTAACCCTAAGAAAACAAGATTAATTCATGATCCGTCGTCCGTGTATTATCTACACCCTTCCGAAGGTCCCAGTAATTCCTTGACCAAATATCTTTTAAAAAGTGATAATTTTGATATTTGGGAAAAGGCGATACGTAATGCACTTGGTGGTCGTGGTAAATCTATATTCTTGTCCCCGGTGGTATTCCCTAACCCACCGATGAGCATGAGTTATCTGCATGGTCTGCCAATAATCAAATAATTTGTAGTTGGATCTTCAACAGTGTTGATGAGTCAATTCAACCTAGTATTGTTTCTCATACTGTTGCATCTGTGCTTTGGGAGGCTTTGAAGAAGCGTTACAGTTGTTCTAATGGTCATCGTGTGTACCAGTTAATGTAACACCCCAGCCCCACCCTGGCCGTAAGTGTCTGCTCATAGTATTGTAGACTGGCCCCACAAACCAACACAAGTCTATCCCGCGCACTTTGTCCTCACTCATGCGCGCCCAAGGAAAACTTCCCAGGGGGGTCACCCATCCTAGAATTTCTCCAGGTCAAGCACGCTTAACTTTGGAGTTTCTAGGTGATGAGCTCTCGAAAAGAAGATGCACCTTGTTAGTATGAGTAGTACTATCAATCCTTTTGAGCTCTTCCTATTCCCATCTTAATACGGGGTATTACAGTTAAAATCTGAGTTGAATTCCTTGCGGCAAAAGGGTCAAACGGTCGTCTCCTATTACAATCAGTTCATCACTTTGTGGAATCAACTCAATGGTACATCTGATCCCACCAACGGCTGCAAGTGTGAGGCGGCTGCCCTCACGCGTGCTCGTATTGAACGAGACAAAACCATTGATTTTTTACTCGGCTTGAATGATGAACAGTTTGGTTCCATTCGGTCCCAAATTCTTGGAACCGAACTTGTGGTAGACATTGACCGTGCTTATTATCCGGTTTCTCAGGAGGAACGTCACCAGCACATTGTGCGTGCTCGTGATGATCGTACAGACTCAGTTGCCTTTGCGGCTAAGTCGGATCGCCGTCCATACTCGTCTGGCAAATTGTTATGTTCTCATTGTGGACGGACTAATCATAATGTGGAAACATGTTTTGAGTTAATCGGTTTTCCATCTCAGTACGGTCGTGGAGGAGGTACCCGTGGTGGAGCAACCCGTGGTGGCCGTGGGGCTGGTCCACCCGTCGGCAGAGGAGGCCGCGGACCTGGTGGTGGCACGGGCAGTGGGACTGCTCCGTCCGGCCGTGGCAGTGGGTCGGCTACTGTCCCTGCCGCAGCAGTGCATGCTGCCTCGGGAGATACGAATGGTGCTCTTAGTGATCAGATGAGCCGTCTCATGTCTATGTTGGAAGCTTCTGCCTCACACACATATTCGGGTAAATTATTCTCTTCTTGTGAATGGCTTATTGATAGTGGTGCCTCTCACCATATGACGGGCACTTTGTCTCATTTGTTTGATATAATGGATGTACCTCCTCGTCCCATATGTCTACCTGATGGATCTCGTATTCAAGCTACAAAGAAGGGATGTGTTCGGTTATCTCCTCATTTGGTGCTTCATCATGTCTTTTTTGTTCCTACTTTGCACTGCCATTTAATATCTGTAGGATGCTTGATACGAGATACTACTTGTCATGTAATTTTTAATGCTCATGGTTGTGTAATACAAGACCGTTCGTCGAAGATGGTGATTGGACAGGGTGAACTGAAGAACGGAGTTTATCACTTTGCTTCATTTCCTGCGTCAGCTAGTGCTGCTCAAATTGATCCGTTTCTCCTTCACCAACGATTGGGTCATCCATCACCTGATATTTTTTCTTTCTTTAATTTTAATAAATCTCAATCTGTTGTCAAGAAACTTCAAACATGTGAGATTTGTTTTATGTCCAAACAAACTCGGTCTTCCTTTTCTGTTAATCATAATAAAGCTCAAGCCGTTTTTGATTTGATTCATTGTGATTTGTGGGGGCCATATACTGCTTGTTTGTCATCTGGTGCTCATTATTTTCTCACCATTGTGGATGATTTTTCCAGGGCTGTTTGGGTGTACCTTATTCGTACAAAGAGTGAGTTACTTCATGTCTCCAACGTTTTTTCTCAATGATTCACACCCAATATACTAAAGTCATAAAGGTCGTTCGTTCTGATAACGGCACTGAATTCCTAAATACTTCTTTACGCCACTATTATGACTCTATGGGTGTATGTATACAAACTTCCTGTGTTGGTACTCCACAACAGAATGGCCGGGTCGAGCGCAAACACCGTCATATTTTAAATGTTGCTCGTTCTCTTATGTTTCAGGCCTCTTTACCCGTTGAGTTTTGGGGGGAATGTGTCAAAATGGCAGTATACTTGATTAATCGTACTCCTACTAAACTTCTTGGAGGTAAATCCCCGTTGGAAATTTTATCTTCGAAGCCTCAAGATTTAAGTCATCTCCGCGTCTTTGGTTGTTTATGTTTTGTTCGTCTCAATCCCAAACCCACAAATAAATTCTCTCCTCGTAGTGTCAAATGTATGTTCGTTGGGTACCCTTACGGTACAAAAGGGTGGCGGGTTTATAATCTTGACACTCATAATTTTTTTCACACCCGGGATGTCGTCTTCGGCGAAACTCAATTCCCGTTCGCTGTCCCGGCCTCTTCCCCTTCTCCTCCGCCTGTCCTAAATCTATCCGCCGAGGACTTTCCAGTACCTCCGTCACAGTTCCTCAACCCGACTGCCGAGCAGCCCAGTCACGTCACTCCCGCCGAGCAGTCCAGTCCCGTCACTACCGTCATACCCGCTAGCCCGCCACCGTCTCCTCTCCTTCTCCGTCGCCGACCAGCGACGTTCTGTCCGTCAGCCCGTCGTCTTCCTCGGGGGAGACCACTTCTCCCTCCGATTCTCCAGTCCCCTTTTACCCCCACGTACCCGTCGTCTACCTTCTCATCTGAATGATTATGTCCTTAATTCCGCAACAGTTGATAC